ACTGGAAAACCAGTCCAAATGCTATATAGGATGTCAAGTATAATATAAGACTATCCGTCAAGTCTTCGACCGCCTCCCCACGTGTGTCCTCCTCCTCCTCCTCCTCCTCCCCCTGCCTGTCCACCTCGTCTGACAGGGGGCACCCCGAATCCCCCCGTTTGTACCTCGTTGGGAAAATACCGATATCTGCAGGATGGGGGGGAGGAGAGAGAGAGGAACGGAACGGAATAGAAACAATGCAGGGAAGTATATACCACACGTGGAAAACGTAAAATTTCACAATTCAATGATTAATTTCAGGATTGTTGCCCAACAACACATCCGCCTAAATATTTTCAGGAGGGAAAACGGTAGTAAAAAGACACTGGAAGTGTGTTCTCTGCCGCAAAGAGTGCCCTGCTAGTGTACAGATTACAGATTATATACAAGAATGAGTTTCTCACAGAAACTGAGGAGTGGATATGAGCTTCCGTCCACCGAACTCCTGGGGGTATTTCATGGTGAGGAAGAAGTAAAGATGGCCGACGACTATACCCAGCAACATGGCCACCCAACTGGAATCCAGGGAGAGAGGAGCGACAGAGAGAAGAAGGTATGAGGTGCACACACTTTTCAATGCAGGAACATTAATTTTTGAGTGGGGCAACCAGGACCCTTGGCATTACTGTACTTTTCTGCAAAACTTACCAACCAAAAAAAATTTTCGCCTCAAATAAAACCTGATGTACACACACGACTCACGCAGTGGCCAACTTACTCAGCTCCCAGAATGAAGAAGAAAAGGAAGAGGACCCAAGGGAAGTACATGGCCTGCAATAAGAGAGAAAAGAGTAGACCGGCAGATAAGAAACATGGATGGAGGCTCCCAAACTGACCTTTACTTTGACTCCGAACCAGAACTGGACGATGACATCACGGTTTATCTGACACCAGATGTAGAGGGAGGAGAACACCAGCGCAGAGCTGAGTATGAAGAGGCCCATGAACACGCCCACAATCTGACCACACCCACTCTCGGTCACGGAGACAACAATCTCTTCACATTGGCATTAGACATGAGGTACACATGGGATCTTTAGAGGGAGAATGAACGTTTCCAAAAGTGTGTGTGTTACCAAAGTTCATGGGTTTTATCCTTCGAATTTATCCTTCGAAGGTTGCGCTTGCCATTATGTACATAGTACAGTATATAGTTGTTTCAGGTGACAGTATAACTGAGGATACGACAAGACAGAGGCAGTTGAAGAGGAGCATGAAGACATAGTCTGCTGGCTTGCCTGCAAAGTAACCTGTGGGGGATTGGATAACAGTAAATGTAGATGTATGTACATAAGGACTAAAGTTGGAAATTGTAAAGGCACAGTGCAAGAATGCAATTAAGTTCCGTTTTCATTAACAGTTTCTAGATTAATTCCCCTGGTTGAGTGTACCTGTTTCGAGTCTCGTGGAGTAGCTATAGAGGAAGTAGAGGAGCATGAGCCACCTGAAGTTGACTGGATGCCACAGTAGACAAGTCACCAGCCGCCACACCTGTTAGCACCAATAATACATTCAGAGCATATCATTTCCACACAGATCTATATGCACATCCGTACACCTAGGTAACTGCGTGGAAACAGTGAGGAGGAGAGAGACCTGAAATCCGGAGAAGATGGGCTCAGAGATGAGGACGAGTGACATGGGGTCCAGGAGCCCCAGGCGAGTCGTGAGAGGGACGATGAAGAAGGCGAAGAACCACCATCTCGTGATCTTGGGGATACTGGAGATCCAGTTGGTTAGGTCGTTCTGGGCGTCCATTGCTACCGGAGGACTTTCTTGGCCTTTTGGTGCGCTCTATTTAGAGTAGTTCACTCGAGGTCTAATGCGCATGCGCGTACACGTCGACGGACGCGACGCACACTGACGGCCTCTGACTCTGCGACATCGATCAATGGAAGTGCCAACTTTGTCACAGTTCAAGCTACTCCTAAAAAGAGATCATGTCTTTCGAGATTACTTCAACACGTTTTTGAGCTTACCTGTAAGGAATTCTATGGCGCGTGACTATACTGAGCTCTACGCTATAAATGCACCCTGTGTCTGCAGATATTTCCCAGGAGGGTAAAGTATGTTGTGGAAACAGAGTCGTTTGAGATTGATCCAACGCCTCGGTCCCAGCACATTGTGAGAGAATATATTCAATCGTCCAATTTTTGCAATCACGATAGCTATTATTGCCGACAGTCTGACAGAGAAGAGGTGATGTCATGGTTGCACACTCACCGGCTTCCTCTGTTCTGGAACTGCCATCTTCTCTATGAGTATGCCCTCTGTCTGGAGCTCTCAAAAAGTAAGGTAACTTTCTTACATAAGTGTGTAATGCCTTCTTTTCCTGTGCAGGCAGTGATAATGGTGAAAGTTGTCGTGGCGTGTGTGGAGTGAAAGAGATGGGACAGTTCCGCTATTTCCTCCGCGGGACTGAAGGAGAGAGGAGCTGCCAGTTCTGGATGGACGTCCAATTACTGCTACAGAAGCTGCACACTGGGCAGGTCCAGGAGACTCATATGGCTCGGTTCATTGGTCACGTTCGGAGACATTACATCAGCGACGGGGCCCCTTTTGGTCTTAGTCCAGACATCAAGAACAAACTGAAAAAGGAGTTCTGCTACCTGCATCGCCACACCTCAGGAAATCATCTTCACAGCAGTCACTCCAGACAAGTGCAAATCCTCGTGGAGGCCCAAAAGCAGGCAATTGTCAACCTCAGAGTCTACTGGTACAAGATGTATGAGGATATTGCAAGAAGCAGCAAGTATTCATTCTCTAAAGTTGAGGCAAAAGAGATGGCTGAAGAAGAAAGATTAAGTTATTCTCCAAGTCTTCCTGTCATTGCTAGTGACAGGAGAAAGTCAGAGTTCTGTCAGCAGTTTGAAAAATCCACCGTGAAGCTTCCTCAAATTAACAAAAGAGAGAGAAAGAAGCATCACTTGTCCACTGAAAGAATGCGCAGGGTAGCTACAAAGCCACTGTTCACTCCCAGCACCACTACTCTCTTCCCTCTCTCCCACCTCCACCTCAACCTCTCACCACCACTGACGACCCGTGATATTCAACATCTCGCTCCCTTCCTGACTGGTTCACTGAGAGCTGATTTCCTTGCCGGCAGCCCTCTTCTTTCACACATATCCAGCCACCACAAGGACTCGAGATCTGCCAACTATTTGCTGTTCTGGTGGTCAGCCGAGGTGCTCTTCACTATGGACGAGATCAGAAGGTGGAGAAAGCCAGTTAAGAACCAGCTAAACCGCTGGGGTAGCTCCTACTCCAACGGGTTAATCCCGACAGCTACAGATCCCAATGAGCTTGTCCAGCTCTTTCTGAGAAAGCGGTCTCCCTATTCGATTGAGTTGCCACCTCAGACAAGAGAGGCTCTGGTTCAGTTGCTGCCCAGAGGCCTGGGGCAGAGTCTCCTGCTGTCAGTTCAGGAGTATGCTGCTCGGGTTAGCCCCTGGTCTCCTGAAATTATGATTTTGAGTCTCTTTTTCTTGGTTTGTATACAGCAACTGCTGCAGCCATGGAAGCAGTTTCTTGCTCACGATGACAAGGTCTTTATGAAACACTGTGTGAGTCTATCCACATTATAAAGCTATTGGTGCAAGAACCATATTATTCAATCTCTTCCACCACACATCTAAGTTTGTTAAGGTTTTTTGGTACTGCTAAGTTCACAAATGACTTCACCCTGTATCACCTACCATTATTAACAATCTACAGACTGCACTGAAGCTGATGGGCGGCAAGAAGAGAAAGACCCTGCAATCCCCAGATATTGTTGGAAGTGTGTATGGAGATGGGTGTCAATTGGAAGATATGTGGGAGGCTCTGAGGCTGGTTGAGATTGCCTGGTGTCCAGCCACCGCTTGCCTTCCCTCCCGCACAAAACCAACAAACGCAACCCTCTCCCGTGAGACCAGCGATGAGAGAAACAGTTTCAAGAACAGCAGCTCCATTTTTGTGAGGCTGACAGACCTGATCGGGATTCCGCTGGATCATCCGCTCACCACTGTTTCTGACACAATGAAGAGGAGCTTCAAGCGATCTGTGAACACCGTTCTCTCGGTCACCACGCCTCAACACTGCAGCAAACCTTGCGGCAACCAGCAGATGACTAAGAAGAAATTTATACCTGGGTAATTAACTACAGGAGCCACCCTTGAGATTAACTTTTGGGGAGATCACAGCTTTTGTCCAGGAGATACAGTTTCCTGGTAGTGTACAGTGATTCTAACCTGCTATGTATAAACTTGTGTAAGCTTAACCTTCTGAAGAGAGCAATTCAGTAAAAAGTGTAGCTACATATGTATCTGTCTCTGCTGATGGTCAATGACGTGTAGGAGTCTGAAGGAGATTGTGAAGGATTGCGAGCAGCTGAGAGTGTTTCGGGAGTTTCTGGCTGCGCAGGGGCACGGCGGTGAGGTCCAGCTGCTGTTCTGGCTGGCCGTGGAAGACCTCAGAGAAACCTCCACCAACTCTAGAGCCTGTCCAAGGAAAATGGAGAGAATCGTCAAATATTTCCTCAAGAGCAGCAACACAAAGAAAGGTGGGTGCCCTTCACAAATCAAGGTTTCATCCAGGTAAAAGTAACTGATTAACTTTTCCCTCAGTTCTGCAGTGTCCAGATTCATTGGTTGACGCAGAGTTTGGCCCCGGCCTTACTGGGCTACTGGCCTTCCAGTCGGTGGTGGGGGAGATGATAGAGAGACGCTGGTTTGGCCGCTACATTGCTTCGCTCACCGTCGAAGAGAGTCACAGTAAAGAGGAGGAGTGTGGGGACCCAGAGCAGTCTCAGAGCAGGAAGACACCCGTCTGCATCGAGCACACGGTGACAACCAGACTAAAACTTAGTATTAAAAAGGGTTCAGCTGAACTAGTAACAAGAGCTTAACTGTATGCATAGAAGGAAACATAATTCTGCGATACATGAACTCCAAACAAAGCCCATGTGTACAGAGTTTGGAGTTTGCATTTAAAGACTCTGTGCCTGCCTGCTGAACTAGATATTTGGAGAGCAGGGTGTTGTGGGTTCACCCATTTGTTGCTGTTCTTGGTTTCATTGAGTCAGAAGTGATCTTGTGTATGTGTGTGTGACACAGAGGGATTTGTGGAGGACGTTTGCCCACGGAGTCATCAGTTTCAGACGAGGCCTCATGGACCTGGAGACTGCAGAAGACTTCAAGAGCTACCTGAGAGAGGAGGTGGTGAGGGGGAGCAGTGGGAGCCACAAGAAGATGGTTGGGACAAAGGTCAGTGGTACACACACACATTACCTTCCCTCTACCGTGGTGCGTATGTACAGACGTTCACTTATAAATGCTGTTTCTAGTCCAGGAAACATTCTGGTGCCTACAGGCCCTTCAACTGTGGATTGGTGAAACTTAGGCCTGTAAATCAATCGTGCAGTCTGAAAAAAGGATGTAGATTGCTAGAGCTATTCACTTGTGTGCCGAGCCAGAGTCTAAGGATGTAAATTGCTAGTTTGATCTAGACCTCGCTACGTGTAGTTGGCTCATGCTATTTCCAAAAGGCAGGTATAGAGCGAAGGGTGTTTTTTTTCCTGCTGTTTCAGGTGGTGTATGTAACGAAGCTGCTGAATGACCTGTCATTCTGGGCCGAGGTGGAGCGCTACAAGGACGTCGCAGACGTCGTGAGAGCCGCCAAAAGGGGGCGGAGCCACACACAAGAAGACAACATCATGATCTACAAGAAGGCCCACGCCATCATCAACTGCTTCATTGACTCTGCCGTCATACCGAGAGTACAGGTATGGAACTAGTGGAACCTAAAGCACAATTCTTCATACTTCATTGTGGGTAAAGTATGAACAGCAAATTTTGGTTATCCTGGCATGTTATTCGTTTTGTAAACTGAACAGTTCACACTTTCACATGAAGAAATAAGAGAGAATTAGGAAGATGTTCTACTTTATCTGACACTCTGTCTCTCTCCTCTTCTTCTCAAACTCCTCTTGTTTCCCTCCACACTATAAAACAGGTCAACATTCCCAATGAGCTGGTGCAGTACATCCTGGACTGTGCCTCACAGGGACAAATCTCTCGCGGCCTCTTCCACGAGGCAGCTCTCAGCATCTTCTCCACACTCATAGTCTACTGGAGAAAGTCAGTTGACCACAGTTCCTTTAGAGACCACACTTATGCACATGATTCCTAACTATGTTTCTCCTGGTATATAGGTATCTGGCTATTCGTGACACACGCAAAAAGGCAGAGGGCGGGGCTCCCTGCTCTCAACCACACCCACTGTCTCCGCCCAACTACCACACCCAGCAACTACCCGGACTGCAGAAGGTGGCTGCCACCTTTGACCTCTACCCTTCGGAGAATCACCCCATTTTTATTGGTCAGTCCAAGAGATCTGTGCACTGCACACTCCAGCTATAGTCAGTTTGTTCAAGGTGGTTTTCTTAGCTGCCTTTACTCCCACTTGCTTGCTAAAAGTACGAAGAGTTTAGGCCACCAAGCCACTCCAAGATTGTGCACATTTTTCAAGGTTGATTGGACTGGCTTTTTCTCCACCTCCATGTAAAAGGTTAGGTCACCCTTTTCTCCCCACGATATCATTCGTTTCCTCAGCATTATTTGTGTGGAGCACAGCTGTATACACAGGTCTTTTCTCTGGTGCAGATGTAGGTCCAACTCTGGCCTTCTCTCTGACTGATGGTCTGCACTGGGTTCAGCCTTCCCACCTCCGCCAGCAGTTTGACCTGGCCCCCACCTTCCTCCCTCGGAAACTCCTCCCCTTCCTCCGCCCACCTCCGACCCAGCAGACACGGGGCACACCATCCAATATATACACCTCCAGCCATACTCAAGACTTGATTCCTCAGTATTATACACTACACTAACACAATGGTACACTGTAGTGTATAATATGTTACTTTCTGAGACGCAATCAGTATGATTTCAAGGAGATGATTCAGAACATGATGCACACATTTTGTACAGTGGCAATAATACAACAGTACACGTTCTATCAGACAATAGTCTGTCAGTTAGTAGTCTGTAGTTCAGCTAAGGAGCTCTGCAGATGTGATTGCTCGTCCTCCAACTTAGCAATCAGTCCCTCTTGCTCTTCTGTCACCACGATACCAAATCCCTGTCAGTGTCAACAACAGGTGAGTGAACCATTTGGATAAGAGAAAAACCAGAGAGAGGAAGAGAGAAGAGAGAGAGAGAGAGCTGGGTACCTTTGTCTTGGTGATGATGCCCTGCAGGGCCAGTTTGGCAGACGATAAAGACTGTACTGATTGACTTCCGTCTTCCCTCACTTGACTCAACTCTCGACATTCTAAGTACACACATACACACATACACCAACACTAGGCTGAAGTTGAACAGTGGAACCCCTAGCTCTAAGGACACCCCTGAAATGAGGACACCTCTCTAATAAGGCCTTCTCCGAGAACAGTTCTTGCATGCAATTTAACAAAGACACCCCTGTAATATGGACACTTCACGTCTCATTGGTGTGTGGGTTAGAGGGTAGTCCAACTGACTGTGGCAGTATTTGAGAGTGAGGTGTGCGGCTCTCTCCAGACCAGTCCATTGTCTGTCCCATCCTCTGACCTGTCGGGCACACCTCTGGGCCTTCTGCAGCTCCAGCAGACCCTGGGTTTTTAAATTGAAGGGGGCAGGGGTGGCACACGCTTTCAGATAGAAAGAGAGTCAAGAAGTACACTTTTGAGAAAGGAAGTAGGAAAATCCTCAAAAAGGGCTATAGCAGGAATAATTTCTTGGAAAAAGAAGGGAAGACCGTGTTGTATAAGGCAGTGACCTTCTCCTGGTCTAGGGTGTCAGAGCTGGAACAGTGGTAGTCTGCGTACAGTTCCCACACGTCAGAATTCCCAGTCACCTGCCAACAGAGAGAGTTCTACCTCCCAAACCTGGCCTGTCTGTCCTGGCTCACCTGTGAGGTCACTCGCCCCAGTAGCTGCCCAACACTGTCTCTCAGTCTGCCAGCTAACACATCACACGGTACCCCGGGGAAGATTGTAGATAGAAGAGAAACTAAAAGACCAAAGTATCTGTGTGTGGATGTATATACCTGACTGCCCACTCCGGTCCTCCTGGCCGTCCAGAACAGCTCTCACCATACAGCGCAGAATCTGCTCAGCGTAGGAGCACATGGAGTCATAAGTAGCACCAAAACTCAACAAGTCAAAATTCAGAGCATCATACAAATACAAAAGGGATCTTGATAAGCTGATACTCACCTCAACATCCAGGAACTTGTTCTGGAGGTCGAGGATTCGGTGGTACGCCTGCAGAGCCTGCCTCAACTCCCCTATTTCAACACTCACCTGCACACACCAACAATTATCATAAACCTATTATGCCGCATTATGTACATTGGCATTAGTATACACATCGACTGATATTATGTATGGGATCTGTGAGTTCATACCATATCACGGCAGATTTGTACTCACCACCAGCAGGTTCTCCCAGATCTTCCAGCTGTCGTAGTTACACTTGACCGCCTCCTGAAACGCTCTGAAGGCCTTCACCCTGCGTGGTGTGTGTGGAGAGAGAGAGAGAGAGAGAGGGAGATGAAACAAGACGAAGATGAACTCTCAACTAAGAAATAAGAGACACACTTTTCCTTCCTCCTCAAGTAGATGGTGGCTAGGTTGTTCCAAGCCTCTGAAAACTGAAAGTGAATGTTATTGTATATCTCTCTACAATAACGAGGCTAATGAGAGGGGTTTACTCACGTCAGCCTCCAGAGAGACGCAGCGCTGGAAGGCCTGAACTGCCAGTTCCTGGTCCCCAACTTGCTGAGCTGCACAGCCCAGACTGAACCACACCTTCTCCTGTGGATATGTCACATGACTATCATTGGTCACATGATGCGGGGTCACATGATGCAGGGGTTTCTGAGGCTTACTTGGAGTGAGTTGATCTTTAGCGAAAGCTGAAAGGCAGGAATACACTCCTTGTACTGTTGAAGAAGGAAGAGAGAGAAAAATGAGAATATTTCGGAGTAAAAACGCCCCACCTCCTTCCGCCGGAGGTGGTAATACCCCAGACTCCGCTGAGCCCGGCCACACCTCCCTTCCGACATATGCCACGCCCGGCGATAGTCCTCTGGGTCCCTGGTCACGTCTCCCAGGACGCAGAGCAGGGTGGGTGTGGCAGCACCTCTCTCCAGTCTCTCAGTGACTACCTCCCTTACCCTCCCCGTCCTCCCCACTGCACTGGAGCACTCGGCCACCTCCTCCCACATCTCCAGTCTCTCGTACACCTGTCACCATCACACACACACATCACAATCACACTATCACACACACACAGCACAGCACATGCACACACGGGATCCAAGGCCACAATTCCCCAAACTGCTCACCTCTAGGGCACTTTTGGTGGCTCCAACAGATAGCAGTACATCAGCATACTCTTTCTGAGCACAGGACAGTATGGTACAGTTCAATACAATACAATACAATACAGAGCTAAAGGGTATTGCCGTAGATTATACCTCAATGGCCCAGATAGTGGGGACTGGTAGACAGTAAAAGAGATCTAGAACATGGTCATCCTAATGCAGAGAGAGAGAAAATTTCCCTTTATTTCTATGTTGTGTTACTCATTCCCCTTCCACACGATTATCTGAACACAGCATGGGCAACTACGAACAACATTGAAGTACACGTCTAGTAAATTGTGAACCTTGCTTGCAGAGTAGCTCTGTGTGAGTTCCTCCAGCTGCAGCATGGCCCTCTCTGCCCTCTTTGACCGCCGCCTCTCAGACTGACATCGCAGGAACAGGGCCACAGACTGCACACACCAGCACAGCGGCTGGGACAGGACACACTGAGAGAGAGGGAGGGAGAGGAGGGAGAGGGAGGGAGAGGAGGGAGAGAAGGGAGAGGGAGGGAGAGGAGGGAGAGAAGGGAATAGTACAGTAAAGAGAAACTCCAAATAATATATATGCTTGGGCCATAGATGTTTCCTAGATATACACACAACTGACTATGTCCCATACATTTGAAGTTGCAAGAGAGTTTTGTGACATGAAGTGTAGGTTTTAGATTCACACCTGAATGAAGGCCTCGGCTTCCTCGTACCCCAGTCTATCAATGGGGAGACTCCTCAATCTGTACACACTAATACACAGTGAGAGGGAGACATATACCGGCTACTATCAGGAGAGGTATTTTAACTCTCTCACCACTGACCCAGGACGACGGCCTGCTCCAGTGACGTCAGTCTCGGAGTGGGCGTGGTCTCGGGGTCAGAGTACACCACACTGTCGAGGAGGGTGTCGTCTTGTAGCTGTACATTCTTTGGCACCATCCTCTCACCCACCTCTGGTGGCAAAACTGTTTTTAGAGGTAAGAAGCAGGTACACTCTTACCAAGTAGCATGAACAGTGCTATTCAAAAATGCATGCTTACACACTAAAAGTTTACAGGTACTAGAACAGTTACTAGAATGAACATTTTTGGCTAACAAACACAAGTCAGTAAATAACACAGCCCAACCTTGCTCACTTCACTCTACTCCACAGTGGTAGTGATCTGACCTTGCCCGGCACTACGATCCTCTCCCTCCTCTCCCCCTCCTCTGAGTAGAGGTGACAGATAGCAGGAGTTGAGCTAGAGTCCATCTCCTGGAACCTTGTCCTCTTCCCCATGGCTCCCCGCAGCTCCATCTTCAGCCCCAGACACCACCCAGCCTCCGACACATACCTCTAGCAATACAATATGTGGTAGGCTGAAGTAGGTCTAAGTGTCAGTTCACAATATTGATGATCACAATAGAATGATGAAAGAACACCTCCCAAGCCTTACTAGCAATACATATGTGGTAGACTGAGCATTGGTTCACAACATTGATAATGTGTTAGGTTTCGTAGACGAGGACTATACATATCATTTGCATCAAAATTAGCTTTTGTGTAAGCACACCTTCCCAAGCCTTACTTTTGGAGCACAAAATTACCGTCAATTCATGAAACCACTTTAGTGTGTAAAGGCCTTCTAGTATTGGTGTAAATGTACCTTAGTCTCCTGGTACTGAGAGTAGTAGAGAAGGATGTGGGCCAACTCTAAATAAAGCTCACTCTTCTGCTCCCTGCCAGAGAACAACACATCCATATTGCCTCATGTCTCTTATTCACATACAAGACCAAGTCTTATATATTCATTATGATGTCAGCAATTGAGCAAATAAAAAGTTGGCTTACCCTGAGAGTTTGTCTGCCTCTAGCAGCCGTTGAATATCGCCTTCTGAGTAAGGGAGAAACTCTCGAAATTGAGCGGCTGATTGGGTGACCAACTGACCAATCAGATGAGAGATCTGGGACCAGAGAGAGGCGGAGCGCTGGGCGAGCATTCTCTGGCGGACAAACAGACAGCGCAGGGTCCACACCACCTGTCAGTTGGTGTGCGTAGCTAGGGTAGGGGTGAGGATGTGAAGTCCTCACTCACAGCAGAGGGTCCCAGTAGAGGGGAACTCTCCACCAGTACCGTGTGGGCCAGCCAGAGCAGCAGAGGATGGCGACACAAGGAATAGACTGGCTGCAAACGAGAGAGATTTCCACTTCAAGTGGTGATGACACACACCTCAAAACAGGCAACTTTCTCGATTCTGTTGCTACAAGAATTTTGCAGAGAAAACTTCACAGATTTATCCCCCACTATTACGAACATTTCCATCCACAAAATTTTCTTTGCTTGCGGCTCAAAAACACAAGTTTTCTCCATCAAAATTTCCGCTAATCAGTAAGTACGTACCTCTCCATCACTGGACAGGGCCTCCAGACTCTCTGCATTCAGTTCATCCTGACAAAAAGAAAGACAAAAGCTTATGACTCCCCATTACTGGCGGGTTGCACATACCAAGGCTTTGGTTCCAGAATTGGGGTACGGGCAGGCTAGGTCAGCCTGGTTAGGACCAACCCAGTTGAACTTGATGAACTGGTCCAGAAGACGAGAACCACACGTTGCTATGGCACTGGAGTTATTGACAGGGTCTTCCTCCAATAGAGTCGTTACGTTAGCGGTCACAGTCCGAGTCACGTGATCTAAACCTAACACGGTATATTGGTGCACACAGAACCAACAGCTGCCATCAAACAAACCTTTATTCGACGCCAGAGCGCTCTCCAGCACCCTTTTGTTGATAGAATCTCTCCAAAACCCCTCCATCGCTATTCTACACACACACGTGGGTTTCCCATTTGCGCATGCGCGCTCTAACCAAAGGGGGCGGGGCTGGTGAATCTGCAGGAAAGAAGGCGGGGCACGTAGAGGTCTAGCTAGCTAGCTTGTCTTCGAAAATGTCCGCTCGCCGCGACAGTATCGGCACGAGTCCGCTGGAACTTGCTGCAGAGGTAGCTTACATCGTGGCCACCAGCCCGCCGCCAGCTGATCAAGAACTGGGCGGTGACGACGAGGACGAGTTTCAATTCTCGTTCTCAGAGACGAAACTCCGCAAAACTCTCCAACAGGAGGAAGTCCCAGAGGCCGCAGGGGCCGAGAAAGAGGCGGAGAAAAGCCCAGGGTGGACTGGAGAGAGGGGACAACTGGCCGTGGAAGAGACTGATTCAGCCGCGATAGTTCCTCGCGGAAACTCCGAAACTTCGAACGACCACGGAACACCTCGCAGGCGCTCTAGCGATGCCGGTTCGCCCCCGGGGGTAGGAGAAAGCCAGAAGACGATCGTGATCTACGGACCGACCAACTACGCCAACAGGCAGCTGATCAACCGACTCGTCCAGTCCAACCCGAGCATATTCACCAGCGTTGTCCCGCACACGAGTCGACTGCAGCGCCAGAACGAGATCAACGGCGTGGATTTCCACTTCGTGGATCGCAAGAAGATGTCGGCCGAAATAAAGAAGGGAAACTTCGTGGAGTGCGTCAAGATATCCGCGTCGCCCAAGCTGAAGCCCAAAAGATTGTCGAGTCTTCGTGAGCCGAGTGATATAAACGGCTCCAGCTCAGCAAGTACGTCGGGAGATGCGGCTGCGAACCCGTGGAAGAAAGAGGTCCAGGTCCCGAGCCCTCTCCTGACTCCCAAGTCCAGCCGTGTGCGGAGCAAGTCGAGCGGGAAGAGCAGTGAACTGTACGGCACGAGCAGAGAAGCGGTCCACAAGGCCCGGCTGCAGGGGAAACCGTGCGCCGTCCTCAACGTCACGTGCAAGGGAGCCCAGCAACTGAGGAAGGCCGGGTGTGACGGGGTTTACATACTGCTAGACGTAGGAGGTGAAGGAACAGATTCGACAGATGATGATGGTGAGGGTCAACAGCCAGATCATCACATCACGGCTGAGAGCATTGACCAAGCCTTCTTGGATCTCCAGCGACTTGCGTTCCAAGCAGTCAGCGACCTCCCTCTCTCACCGCGAACGAAAGTTGACGTCACACGAGACGAATGGGAGAGTCTCCCAACTGTGGAAATGGACCAGCAGTTTTCGGAAGCCACTTCGCCCGTGACAAAGACGAGACTGCTCACGTTCACCGACCTACTAGTCCACTACCAGCGAGAGAGGATCGGAGCCAAGCCGACCAAGACGAAAAAGACCACAACATCTCTTTCCAAGGGACTTCGAGCAGAGTACGACTTAGTTCTGAGTCTCTCAAGTATACCACTGAGCGACACGGACACACTACACATCGAAGCTCTGCAGACAATCTACCAGAAATTAATGGGGAGCTCCCTCAATTGCAGACGCTACGGCCCCCACTGGCAGGACATTGGGTTCCAGGGAGTCGACCCAGGAGAGAGCGTGAAGGCCGTCGGTTTCTTTGGAATAATGCAGCTGGTGTCGTTTCTGGAGTACTGTCCTTCACTAGCCACAGAAATCTTCAGCTATTCTACTGAAGGTACCTATAAGTTTCCGTTTGCCGTCGTATCGATAAACCTCACCGAAGCAGCGTTGAAAGCTCTACGTGACGGCCACCTCACCAAGCTATGCAACAAGCAGGAGCAAGTCATAGTCGCACTAAACGACTACCACGCAGGGCTGTTCTACCGGTTCTATCGCCAGTGGAGATCTCAGAGCACTCCGTCACAGATACCGCCCGTCATCCGAGACGTTGCGAGCTACGCCAGGAAACACCCAAAGGCAGTGATCTCGGACGTGGTCTCCTACCTGTGGAGCGGGAAGGACGAACACGAACTAGCACCAGTGAGGAAGATATCGCACAGTCTCAGCAACCCCTTCACACCGTTCCCCAAGCTCGAGCAAGAGACACCATCACCTACGACACCATCCTCATAAACATAGAGACTCAAATTCGCTCCCTATCATTTATTTTGACATAAATTTTTTGCACATGGAGAACTGCATGGTGTTGCTGCTACAGTGGTGAGCTAACGTTATGTAAAACGCTGAAATTTGGCACGCGCGTTTGCAGACGTTCTAGTTATTGAATGGAAGAGAGAGAAAAGAGATTTAGTATCACAAAATGCTATGAAAAGAGTTGTGTGCTTCTGGTATTGCCGCCTAGGCCTTCATGATCTTGAGAGTGAAGAGTGGAATTTAGTTTTTGAAACACCTCCCTTGAAACCTCCTGGGCCATCTACAGCATTACACAGGTATAATAGAGGCCTGCAGTGAGGGTCTTTATTATTTAAACAGCTTACTCTGATGGCATCGTTCAGTTGGAAATACGGGATGCCGCCTCCAATGTCTTTGCTCGTGCTCAGGATTTGCCCCTGTTCGTTAATAGCCAACGAGAGTCTGGACGATGCACACATCTCTTCCTTCATATTGACATCAACCACAAAGTTCAGTCCAATCTACAGCACACAAGCAAATTCTGTAAAATGAGGTCCTATTACACACCCAGAGCTTTACTCAGACCTTTGTGACAGTAATAATGATGGGGGCACGACCGATATCGAGGGAGGTGGAGTCGTGTGGATTATCGGATACCTCCACCTCCACCTCCTCCCCCTCTCCAGTCACGATGAGTCGCGGGATGCGGGTATCGTGGAGAGCTGCCCTCACTGCCAGCGACAGAACATCCAGCACACTCCCTCCCCACTCCAACACCTACTTACAACACAACACAGCAGGTGGAAAAGGTCATCACAATGCAAGTACGGGAACCATTATTCTAGAGTGAAGTTTTACAATCAGTTTTCTTTGAGCTTTAATTAAAATCAGTCGTAGTAATTGTATGAAGGAAAGATTTTGCAGATATGTAGCTCACAAACTATAAAATGTTATCCACTAAAAATTATTATGCCCGGTAAATTGATTGAGTTATGCTATCCACCTCAACTATAAACTTAATGTCTTTCATATATCTAAGATCAGACATAGCTACATGCATTATATTAGAAGGGGACACAGTATTAATGCAGCGAATGATGAATTTCTTACCAGAACGTCGACATAGAGGACCCAGCACTGCTGGCCTGGTATGATGGAGAGACTGCCTCTGTCCAGAGTGGAGCTGTGGCTGTACGCCCCTGCCAGCTGGTGGGCAAGATGGTGACCAAGATCCTCTCCCCCGCGACCTTCGAACTCTGGACTAGCCAGAGCCGCACTGAAGAGAGTGTGGAGTTTTGCAGCATGAACCATGAGACAGATGGAAAGATCGTGAGCATAAGAATGAGACAGGAAAGAATGGAGATAATTTTAACTCTTCTTCTCCATCCTTTATATGCACAAGAACCACATGCAAGTATTTAAAAATTCTAACTCTAGATGTAGCTGGCCATCTATGATACAGCATACTTTGAATTTGCTTACCAGTCGACAAAAAATTCTATTCTGCCAGAATTGGGTTGAGTTGGGTCTGGAGCTCCGAGTTCAGCCTTCACTCCTACCACTGCACTGGTGTTCTCCTGCAGACACACAACACGCACACTACGCCCCTTTCTCTACAATTATCAGCCGACCAGTTGGACTCTCGCCGAACCGCTGGTGTTAGACACGACCCCAGTCTGCACGGCGAAACTCCTGTAGTCCCTGCAGTTCCTCCCGTCCTCTCTGAGGTCCTGGTTGACACCCTCCTCTATGTAGTCCCGCTCGTACTTGGACAACAGCTGGGTAGCCATTCCGATGCGCTTCCCAGCGCCACGTGGGTGGTGGGCATAAAATAGAATAGGCCTGGCTATGGACCTTTGAACCCCAACGTAAACGAGCCGGTATTTGGTTGGGGGCGTGTGTGTCGACTGTCTATACTTGGAATGGCGGACTCTGTGGTAGTGGAGGAGAAGTATATGTGTCCGATCTGTCGCGAGGTCCTCAAAAAACCCACATCCACTCGCGAGTGCCTTCACAGGCGAGTTATTTCTCGTTGACAAACAGAAAGCGTGGACCCTTCTCTCCCTCTCCACACGCTCTGCCTCATTTACGTGTGTCTATCTCTCTGTGTGCAGGTTCTGCGAGGGCTGTCTGCGTCAGATGCGACCGAGCGACGACGGAAATCACTACTGTCCACTCTGTCGGGGTCCCTTCCAAATGTTGGCCACCTTCCATGACGTACAGATTGAGGGGGAGATGGGCACCGTGTACTTCACCTGTCCCGGCTGCAAACACAAGGTCTGGATTATCTGCACTTTTTGTTGTTTACCACAGATTGTTACTGCTAGTGCCTTGTTGGTTTCATGATCTAATGGAAGTTGTACGTAGCAAATTGCAAATGTGTGTGTTCACAGTGTGTGTGCGTTTTGTTGAGTGTGTCATCTCTATATAGCTTCCTCTGTTGATGTACAATGGACACCAGTCAGCGTGCAAGAAGTTGAGTAGGTCTGCTGCCGTGCCGCTGCTCGATCCAGTGGCTCCTACCTCACAGGAAACTCCGTTAGTTGAGGGGCTCCCCCTCACTCTGTCGCTAATTGCTTCCGCTCTCGTTAACACAGGGTGGCCCTCAATCGCTCCACGTTCAAGTGTCCATTGTGTGACCTGGACAACTTGGACTGTGAAGGTCTGAGGGAACATGTGAACCAAGCCCATGCCAATAGCACAGCTCCTGTGGTGAATATCTCCTCACTCTTTACCCCTCTTTACCTGCCTAACCTCCACCATCTTTCTGTGTATATAACTCCCCTTCCTCCCTTTGCTTTTATCCCTCTTACTTCGCCTCTTCCTCTCTCCCTCTCTTTCTCTCTTTCTGTCAGGTGTGTCCAGTATGTGCCTCCATGCCGTGGGGAAATCCAGAGCAGAGGAGTGGCAACTTTGTGGCCCACATCAATCTCAGACACCAGTTTGAGTACGAGACCTTTGTGGTAGGTGAACCGCTGCTATATATAATACCCCTAGCCTTTGTTCTCTTTCATCCTCAACCATTGTATCCACTCAGGACTACAGTAAAGATGAGGATGCTATCCTGCAGGAAGCTATTCGTGAATCACTTAATGATTTCTGAATGTGTCATTATAGCTAATGCTTTTGGTTTCGATATATACCCAGGCGTTGTTCACATTTTACGCATGCGCAGTAAATTTCCTGGCAACAGGGATGATCATGATGTTCGTCATCGGCGGCGGCTCAGGTTTCGATGCGGATGGTTCAGGCAGGTTTTCACTGTTACCAAGTTGTTGGTGATTGGTTTGGCTACGCAGGAAGTGGAGGGTCGGACGGAGATGCAGACACGCCGCTGTTTGCCCGCGTCTTTCGCAGCCTCGGCATCATGGCTGCAGCTGGCCTGGGTTTGCTGGTCACCATTATCATAATGTTCATCATCTCCTCCATATGCCTCCTGTGAGCGCCTCCGCTCACTCACTGGGATACCTTGCTACGTTTATCGTGGGATATTTGTGCTGCAGGCGATCGTGGTGCAAGAGAAAGAGCAGAGTCAGAACCATACGAACAAGAAAAGTGGGACCCAGACGCCGACGACCTAGTACCGATTGGTAGCTCATGTCACATCATAGACAACTAGCGACACTGTAAATCCAACACCTTCCCTACTCCTTGAAAAGCGTCAATGATTTACCCTCTTTGCATTTGCTTTTGTGCTGTGAGGCAGTGGCCAATAACACTGCACTACCAACCCAACCTTATGCAATATTGACAGCGAAGGCATCAACAGAATAGGAGAAGGTCAAAATCAAAAAGTGAAGCATTATAGAGAATGAATTTTATGAACAACACAGGCGTTCTGACGATGCCATCTTTGACGAGAGCAGCACATACATCATTCCAAACTACCCCAAGCCCATTGGCAGCTCGCAGATGGAAATTGCATTTGCTGTGACTATATATTCCCTTCTCTGTGACACTCGCTTCTGGCACCACGGACTATATATATATTTCGTCCTCCAGTCAACTCTCCTACCACTGGGGCTGGAGCTGAGCCCAGAACTGGCAGAGTCGACTGCTGGTGCCTACATCATTGGAGTGCCTATATATATACCAGCCCACGGAGGATGAGGGATCAACATTGCCATGTCTATAATTGCAGGGGTTACCATCCCTTCTCTCGTCCTCACACTCCTCCTGCTTGGAGTAGGCAACAGGGTCGCTATTGTTAAACTAGACACAGTATGTTTTGGTAAAGGTTTAGAGATATATTTGTAATAAGGATCACTAGACATTTTTCTCTATGATTGTACAACAGGGTCCTAATGCTGTGGTTAAGGAGGAAGAGAGATGTACAACGTCCACAACTATGTGTGGAGGGAGTGGGTAAGGAGGTTGAGCATGTGAGAGACTGAGGCAGGGTGTATACACAGCCCTGTTGTTGGCTCAGCGGCTATGGAGCAAGACCTACAAACAAGGCTTGATGAATCAGATCGAGAACACGTTTTAGGGGAGAGAACAGTGAGGGAGATGGCTACCACATAGGGAGGAAGAGGATGAGTTTGAAATGACTTAGGAACTAGGTCAAGGAAGAATCACTATGGCACACGACTAGTTTGAAACAAGATTCCCAGACCCCCCAGCGTTGTAAGAGAACCACAATTACGACTATACTGTTACTGAAAAGCACTCTGCTGTTGTACGTGTATATATGACTGAACATGTATATCGCTTTGTAAAGTCATACAGACCAGCTCGTGTGAATTCAAAAAGACAGAGAATTATGGTGCTTTTGTCATTCTTCTTTTGTTGGTCCAGTCTCGATCATTTCAGCAGTTCCAGTTGTTTTTGCAGTCTTCTCCTCGTGTTCCTCTGTGTCTGTTGGTGTCGTTCCAGGCCGGTCCTCCGGCCCGTTCTCGGCGGTAGAAGGCTTGTCCGTAGTACCAGATGATGGGTTTACCGCGGTCTCACCTCCGCTGGAAGAAGGCTGGTCCCTCGTCTCTTCGCCAATGGCGGTGTTGACTGTGGGTTCTCCACCACCAGCAGTACTAGTGGACCCCGCGGCGGGATTGTGCTTCCCGCCGGCCGAAACTTCGGGTTTCGGTTTCTGCGCCGACTTTGTGGCCATCTCTTTCCTCTTTTTATTCCCCGACTTGGACTTTCGAGCCGTCTTCTTCGTCCGCGCCATTGCCACGCTGTCTAGTCTGCGCGTGTGTGTGTGGCTCCTCCTATCCTGGATCCGATTGATCGCACGCGCGCATGCGCGTAAGTGCCAAACCAGCTACGCCCATTTCTTGCGCAACGGCGTGGGGTGGTGGTGTTTCACCTGGGATGATTCAGCACGTAACACAGTGACTCAGAGGTCACTATAATAGACAGCTCACCGAGCATTCTCATGCAGGAGTCCTACACACAAATAATAGGCATCGACATGGCAGAAATCCGGTGCCCCTATCACCACGCTAGCTGGAGATGTCGTACGCAACACATTCTGAACTGCCTACGAGGACGTCTCCTGACTCGGATGCAGGCGAAGAAATTTTCTTCGTACGTCTGCGTATGTCCTGGTGAGCGCCTCGGCTATCGTTTATCTCTCTGCGTGTACTTTATTGACCTGCGCAGGGAGACCTAGCGTGACCTCCCGCGAGATGCTGGACGCAGCTCCGGACCTCGCTGCGTGGCTACAGGGCAAACCGAGCTCGTTGCCTGAAGAGGTCCGCCGCTCTCTGGAGCTGTACCTGACGGCCGCGGAAGAGCTAAAGCCGGCGGAGCTGGGGCTGGGGCTTGTGCACCTGGTCTCAGTCATACGGAGGGCAGTTGAAGGTAGCTAGCTAGCAATGATTACTACGTATGCTGGCCCATGAATAATGTCATTGAGTTTTTCAGCTATCACTCCATGTAGAGCACTGTGCAGAATACAATAAGGGCTCTATATCTGTTACCCAACATTAGGTAAGCTGGAGGAAGAGAATTCTGCCCCATCACAAATAAAGCCTCAATACAAGGAAGACACGTGGATGCTGAGCCTACCATCTAGATACATCGGTCTCCTGGTTGGACGCGGTGGTCAACACATACAGACACTCTGTCGGGAACATAAAGCAGGAATCTACTTTGGAAAAAAGCAGTCGCTATGTCATAGAAACACCCACAGGTAGTCAAATCTCTCTTCTACTGCATACAGCTCTCTATATAAATATACAGACTGCAACACTACCAAGCTACGCACAGAGATAGTGTCCAAGTGACAGTGGTAACTATGGAGAATGAGTTGGTGAATATAGAGGCAATCAAGAGCACGTTGGAGACAAGAGCAGAGGAACTGAAAGTCAAACGGAAATCACACGAGGAAGCAGTAAGCTATTAGTCTCTCCACAATGTCATGCGCAATAGCAAACATTTTGTATACAAGGTTGAGAAGTACAGACAGAGAAGGTATAGACGGTACCTGCACGCAGTGCACGACCCATGGGAAACACATAAATACTGGAGTTCACAGAGACTCAAAGGAAGCAGCTACGGACCACTATTACCGTCGCAAGCAGCACCAAAAGACAAGGCAAGAGAGAATCACGGAATTATCGAGTTTAATCTCGGAACTTTCACTTTCCTGCAGGCACCCTCCAAGGAGCCAGGCACACAGTGCGATATCAGAGGGCCACTGTCTCAACTGTCTCACTGCATACTCTCCCAACACCACTGAGATGGGGGCCTGTACCTTCCACCCCGGCTTTCTCAGTAATAGCACACTCACAACAACACACCTCCCTTTCAAAAGGACACCTTCGTCTAAAAATGTTAAAGGTTCACAGATTGGCAGAGTTGGTTTTGTAGAAGAGACTGGCACTGCCATACAGCACTGTACAGTACATTTGCCTTTTACTGGATTGTGACTTAATTAACCATATTTTCCCACTACACATGTAGGGAGTGAAGGTCTAAATCAACTGCATTACCACTGCTATACATTCTCACCCACAGCTGCAGTAAAGGCGGGCAAGAACAGAGGGTACAAGTGGACTTGCTGTGGGCGACGAACGGCCGAAAATCGGGCCACAGTCAACCAGCACATTCGAACAGGGTGGTAGCTACATAGCTACACACACTCTGCAGAATGAGGCAAAGTTTCAGAGTGTTGTCATTGTACTAGGTGTTCCAGTGGTCGACACAGATGGAGGCCGGGAAAGAGCTGTGCCAGAAAAACCAGAGACAGTTGGCTCTCCGATGACATCATCCTCATTTAGCAAGTGACTCATATTACATGTACAGTATAATATTGTATAATGAACAAACTATTTTTAGTTGAGCTATACGAAGTTAACAACAATTACGTACTACAACATTGCGGTATGGACAGAGTTGTCTACAAACATAATACACAAAACATTGAAACAAGAGGTTAGGTTTGCTTTGCTCGCCAAAACCGTTACTATGTCATTAGGGTGAGGGTATCAGTTGTAGTAGATCAATCCACACGGTCCCAGCACTCACCAGCTGGTAGTTAACAGCCTGTAAGGGTATACATTAATATAGGATGACGACCCTAATAATAGTGGGAGCTCCTCACATCAACTCTGTCAGTGGTAGCTGTGGCTGTGAGGCTGGCAGAGTACTTGCTCCACTCAGTGCTCGTCTGAAATGTTGCAGCTTCCATTTGAAGAGAACCAGCAAACATTACTATGTGGTTATCCTTCACTGAGAAAATGCTACAAACATGCTGCTTGCTTAAAGAAGCAAAAGTGCAAGTTATGAATCAACGGTAAAGTATTGTTTGTGTGGTTGCAGATTGAGTGATTATCTGTAAATTATGAGCTATGTACACAGTGTACTGTTACTGGAGACTCACAGGCTGGTGTGAGGTCAGAAAAACTGAAGAGGAGGGTCAGGTTTGCCTGACGGGACACGGCCCAGAACGTCAACTCATACTCTGTGTCTTTGTCCAGTCGTATGTTGAATGGCTCCACGGTGAATCCCTGGCCCTTGGTCGGTGTCGTGAGCTGCAGACTGTGCAGTCCGTCCACCGAGAACCTGAGAGATAGAGACAACAAACTCTCTATCTCCCACCCGCACTATTAAAGTGAACGTGGCAGTATATAAGGTTTAAGAAATGTTCCAAAAACGGGGAAACTGCGTCTGCCAAAGACCTGGTGTCTGTGAGGTAGGTGCTCCCGTGGTCAGCTGGTACATTGAGGTAGGCTCCGTCGGGACCACTGGGACTGGTGACCTGCTCAAACGACGGGTTGGCTAACAGGTTCGCCGGATTCACCTGACTGAGGGAGACAGAGACAGATGAGTGACACAGTATGGGAGAGAAAACCTGCATGATTCATAATTTGTCAATTTACATACAATGGTCTCTAACTACAAAAAGGGTTTCATGGGTAGCTCTTAAAAAGGCAAATGTTTTCTGCCTTAACTATTACTACACTGGCCTGTAATTCTTACGTGGATTTGATTGGAGGGAATCTGTATGCTGTTTTCACACAGGCCGTAGCCCCAAGAGGCGGGAGACGCGCGACTACGTCAACAGCGGCCGGGAATAAGGCACGACGTGCAGGCAGGGAGCGACGAGGAGGCAGAGGAAGAGTGCGACAGAAAAGGCAAGCCAACAGAGGGCGGCAAAGAGGAGGACTTAGCGACCCGAAGAAGCAAGGACAATCGGCGAAGGACACAAGAAGGAACATGGAAACCCCAATGAGGAGGAAAAGGGCAAACGGGACAAAACGCGAAGAAAGACCAAGAGGGGCAGACAAAAAAGGACGACACACACCGCCCCCCGCCCACACACATAAAGCGAAGCCCGAAAGGAAGTCCCCCCACCCCAACCCAAGCCAACACGACACGAGAACAACGACGAGGCCGAGAAAACCCCCAACAAAAAAAAAGAACACAACAAAAAAAAACCCACGAAGGGGATGGGACACCACCCCCCGCCCATCCCCCAACCACGCCAAACGCCAACGCGAAAACCCCGCCACACAAGATGAAACAACACAGATACACAACGAAACAGGCAGCCCCGCAACAGGGCACCCAACACGGAGCCCAACCACCCCACCCCGCCGCGCCCCCCAAACCGCCGCCCCCATTCATAAAAAAAGCAAACAACCACCACCCCATCCACCCGAGGCAAAACCACCCGAGAAAAACAACGCCCTAGCCACCACAGCACAAAACCCCAGCAAACCCCCGCCCACCACACCACCGTACCCTCCCAAAAAAAAACCCTTCCCCGCGCTGCCCCACCTCACCCTCCCCCCCTCCCTCCCCCTACTGTTATGTGTATAATACATTCAATAGCTTACACTGGTGAATTTTCCACGTTGACTGCTGCCACCACCCACGTTCCGTTCACCCTCTCCCCCCAGCCAGTGGCCAATATCTGGCTAATTGAAGGGGTCACGTTTACCCTGGGGCCCCCGATCAAGATGGCCGACGACAGCTCGCGAAACTCCAGCGAAAGCCGGCGACACTCTGACCATGAGGTCTCAGCATACGGAAACTGGCCCGGACTAAGAAAATGTAAAATTGTGATGACAGTGTTAGAAAGTATGTATGGGTCTATTTATACCTCCTCACAAAGTACTGGATTCCAATAGCCCCAGTCAACATTGCTATATATGTCATAGCACGTTCCTCCTAGAGTTACACATGCCACCATATTATGGGTCCATAAAGATATATACTTACTGCAGGGGTTGGCTGTCTCTCCCATATCTCTCCTCCTCCAAATGACTACATTATTTATACTGCATATAATTGTGGCATTAGAGGTGAACTATATGCATACCTGGACGACTATAAAGAATGGTTTTCCAGTGGCAATTAGCTGATTGACCTTCACAGTTATCTGTATTAATTACAGCAACATAGCAATTAGTGTAGCACACAAAAATTTAGAGCCTCTAGGTTCTTGACGTGAATATTTAAACTGTGCTACACTTCCAATATCGCAAAACTTGAGGTTGACTCACAATGAATGGAGAAGATGTAGGGATTGGGTAAGGATCTGCCATACCTATAGGCATACAAAAAGATTAGTTTATGTATAGGTAATATACCACAGGGAGTCCTACCAATGTCAAAGCTATTGATGTACTTTGCTGGATCGACGCAGCAGAACACCTCAGTGATCGGTCGGTTTGGATCCACTCCCTGTGGAAAAATGCTACACCTCACACACATTTACAGCATCTCCATTTTTTCTACACACCTTAACAAAATCGTATGCCTTTTCGAGCAGGGCGGGATCAATCCCATTTCCACCCGGTTCATCTGCCAAATAATACCTGCAGAAAATCATACCAAAAACTTCACCGGAAAACACTTCCAATGGTTTTGGGTTTTTTAAAAGGATACTATGATTTCAGTGTAGCTACGTTACTCACGCGGCGACTGCAGGGTGGTTCATGACTGTTTTAATCTCCGTCTCCATCAGCTGCCATTTGCTGGGTGTGTCTGGGAGGGTGGCCAGCTGGTGGAGATCATAGTGCACATGAACGCCCATCTCCTCACACCTGTAGAGTTAGACTAGTGTTTAGTTTTTGTTGTACACAATGTATTGTATAGAAACCTGTCCAGAAATGCGAGAATGGTGGTCCAAGTTTCATTGGTGTGCCCCTTTGCTTCACTGAGATAGGGACCAATCCAGTTCATCCCTGTGTAAGTTACAACATTGTTTCATTAACACTTGGAAAACACTTTTCCTCGTTATACCAAACGGAATCTCTGCCTCTGGGACAGCTCTCTCGACCTCAGTAGTGACTCCATAGATGTAGGAGCCAAACAAGATGAAAGCGAAACCGTTTGGGTCTAAGAGTTTTCCACGGATGTTGTCTACGGTGTATGTAAGTCGTTCTTTCAACTGTGCCTTCACCACCTACGTTTTATGGCATGATACACTATGATGACTGTGAGTGAAGTGCAATAGGCTTGCCTTGGTAAAGACAGCAGCTCCGCACAGAGTAACTCCGACAGTTGTTGCTCCGAGAGGTAAACGACGCAGGTCGACGCTAACGTGCATCCATTGCAGGCCGAACTGGTCGGTGTGAGAGGTCGCAATGTCTCCGATGTGTGTTCTACTCTCGAGCAGTTTTCCATCGTCCGCAATGTGGACGAAAAGGTCCTGACACTGGCGCTGGATGCGGACACTCGCGTGTACGAGAATGACGGCGTCTTTGTCTTCGTCCGTGAATGGGACGCGTGCAGGCTTGGCCAGCAGGTTTCCGCCTCTTGCAGGCCCCTCCAAACTTGCAAAGGCAAAAATCAAAAGCAAAAGCTTGCTCATGATGATGCTGTGCAAAAGCGGAGTTGTGCGCATGCCTCGTTAAAGTGGGTGGGGCTAAACATCACGTGATACCACATCTCCATGGCAATAAACACGTGGCGGTAAACAATTGGCAGAGATGGGTGGAGAAGGAGCAATCGTGAAGGCTTTACGCTCGCAAACCAGAAGCCTGTCTTTAGACAACAGTAACCTAGAGGTTTTTCCCGCCGGCATAGGTAAACTACACTTCCTGCTCAACCTCTCCGCAAAGAAAAACTCGCTCCGGTCACTCCCGCTCGGATTGGTCAACCTCAAATCTGTAAGACGGACCTATTAGCTCAGCAGTGACAAAGCCTACACCGACTCTTTATGTCCAAACAGCTAACTTGTCTGAATCTCGGCTGCAACTGTCTCTCCAGCATGCCCGAGTGCCTGGCGGAGCTGACGTGCCTCACAACTCTCCACCTTTTCAGAAACGCCATCCAAACTCTCAACGACAAAGTCCTCTGTGAGCATACTTTATACACAGACACCCCTTCTAGTGTTCTGTAAGTATACTGGTTAACATCTCTGGTTTGTAGCATCACTGAAGAATTTGGTTCTACTGAATTTGAATGGGAATCGTGTCAGAGTGTTGCCTCCATCCATTGGGCAACTGAGCAATCTGCAGCAACTGAGTCTCAGTTGTAACTCCATCTCCAGTTTACCTACAGAGCTGTTTTCACTCACGATTCTCACTGAACTTCATCTTGACAACAATCAACTGACGCAGTGAGTAAAGAATCTGTCGGTGATATTGCCAATGTGTGGAACTCTGCAATAGTTTGCCGATAGAGATAGGACAGCTGAGAAAGTTGGAAAAGCTCTTTCTTCAGAAAAACCTTCTCCAAGAACTACCCACAGTCAGTTTTGCTTCTCTTTTTTAGCACATCTATTCCCGCACATCTGTGTCTATTTTCTACTTCAGACCATTGGGGTGTGCCTTTCCCTCAGAGTATTGGATGTGTCATGCAATCAACTAGAAATGTTTCCAGCCGAGGTATAGCTAAAACTACATAACGTGTATCGTATTCATTGACGTAATTCGGACTGTGTTACAGCTGCAGGGACTGAAGAAACTGGACCAGTTCCACTGTGAGCAGAATCCCCTGATACCCAAGTTACCCATACCCGCTGATCAGCTCACTGAAGTTCTATCACTAAGAGTGAGATTAATTGTACACTCTGATATTCACTATTAGTCTGATATTGCAGGAGTTAGCCGGGAGATTTCTGGCAGAAGAGATCAAGAATGAGTGAGACTCTTCTTTTTTTTTTATAGTGTTCATGATTTTTCTGAATTGCTTCACAGTAATGGCCAGCTGAAAGTGGACTTGGCCAAGTATCCAGAGCTATACCAGTTACTGGTCAACACTGGAACCTGTGCTGTTTGCAGTCACCCAGTCATCAACTCGTGGCTGGAGTGTGTCCATTTTCAGAATGCCAAAACTGTAAGCAGGTTTTTGTTGCATATAGGGGAAGGGCTGATTTTTATGCCACCAGATGCTGAGGTCGTTGAAGACTAATCCAGGAGTCATACCAATCAGAGTTGCCGTCTGTTCGTACACTTGTTTCAACACTGAAGGACATGAGTTCTATGGTGTAGCTGATGCTGGATGACATTTTGTGTCATTGATTATGCGCATGCGTCGCATGGAAGTTGTTGCTGCGCGGCAACCAAACACTTGTGGTGGTCTCCAAATAGAAATTGGCGAACGAAAAATGACCGCCCAGATTTCAGCTTATCTTCGCTCGCTGTTGCAGCTTTTAGAGCTACAAGAGGGGGACGAGATGCCTTATGGAAGTAGGTACGGCCCTAACTCGCTGGTAGAACTCGTCCAGAATGCTGTCTCGGCTGGTGTTTTCCGACAACAAAGGACAAACGACGGGACGGAGGCTGTGAAACCGCTCCAAATGTGGCAACCCGCACGCTGCACGACGTCCTGGCTGCTTCCAGATGCCGACAAACTCTACGTCATCAATTTGCTCAGAAAGTGCATCACAACAAAGTTCAAGGTTCTCTGCAAGAGAGCCGGCGTGCCTTCTAACAGTACGTGTCGAGAATTAGCGGAGTCTGCCGAGATATTCAACTCGCAAACCACCGAGCCACGTGCAGTCGATGCGCGACTAGCCGCAGCTCGCCGACTGCAGTCATCCGCCCTGAAACAACACCAGCTCTCATTCGGAGACTTTGTAGAAACTTTGGTTTCGTGTCGCTCGGAATTCACTGCTGAGCATCTCCTGCGTCATTGCACTGAACCAGAGAGCATTGTGAGCTTAGCCAGACTTGAAACCCGGTTTGTCCGCTCGCTAATATCTGCATTCAACACGTATTCATCTCTACTGGAGTCCTTCTCAACAGATGCAGAGCCGCCCAAACTCAAACCTTACCCTCACTCAGCCAAACGTCTAGCAGTGAAACCTGCCGGCCCTACAGCCAACACTCTCTCCATTACTGCTAATAGTATTTTCCCATCTGCTGCTACTGCTCAAATTGGGAAGAGGAGTATAAGTGAAGACGTGCTAGACAGAATAGTGCAGGTCGTGGTCTCTGAACTGTGGAAAAAAGTGGCTGTGTGTTTGAAGCAGTGTGTGGTCACCGGTGGAGGTGAGAATTTGGGATGCCTTGCAAAGAAAACTGCTCAGTCTCTCGCCAGAGAACAAGGTATAACCATCTTACCTTTATCCAAGATTCTAACATAGTTCTTTTGTGTTTGTGTTTAGATCTCGAAGCAGCAGCAAAGTGTCTGCAGTTCGTGGCAAACAGAGCAACTATAGAGAAAGAGCTGCGAAACTGGGACAAAGGTGGCCTACATGCTCTTCTCCAGATAGTTGACAATCAATTCTCTATTTCTGCAGGTTTTCAGAGTATGCTGGCCTCGTCTCAGAAGCAGGGGACTGGCAAAAAGCCCTCAAAGACAGTTGAAATCCTATGCAGTGAAGTCCTAGCTCCCTTACAGAGAGGACTTTCAATGACAACAACCACTGACTTCCACACGCTCACAACACCCCAGCCAAATAGAGAGAATATTGACTTTCTGACAACCTGCAGTGCCATCATCACGCCACTAACAATCTCCATTCATGCCGCATCCAACACTCTGATTTGCTCGATGGAACACAGTCTTGCTAGCTCCAGCCTTCCAGGATTGGCTCGGTACACTTTCAGTGAAGGTCGGCGTGTTTATCGCGGCGTGTGTGAAGTGCAACAAGAATTAGATATTCGTCGCTCCCTGCCATCACTTACTAGATGCGAACTAGAGTACAGTAGGGTTTTTGTTGAAGGGAAACGGATTGAAGGAAACTACAGTAGTCTACAGGCGACAGTCAACTACATGTGTGTAAGTATATACACTTTATCAAGTAAAAAGCAAGGGAATAAAGGTTTCACTGCTATGATTCCAGAGAAAAGAAAAGCATAGTATTGTATGTGTTTGCCATATAATATATCAAACTACTGATGTTTCAGGAAGGGCTAGAGATGGCAACTGTTGGTTTTCATGACTTTATGACGGAGAGATGCAAGAAGTGCTTACAATCGGTCTTCCCTTCGGCTAGACATTGGAGAGCACTTGGAAAACAAAGTAAGTTGTTCCGTTAGGTTGAGGTAAGGCGAGATTATGAATAGTGAGATAAAGGAAGGAAAGTATCAACGGTGGTTGTGTTATCATTTCTTCCACTCACGTGCAAACGTCACACACAGGCGGTGAGGGTGGGAGTGAGGGACCGAGTGAGTACTGTGATGTACTGGTGGAGGAGGTCCTGATGCCACTCACTGAGGCAGCTCTGACTCTGGAGGCTAGGCCTCAGTCAGTCTTCATGACTCTCTCTGCCACCATCTTCTTCACCGAGTATCGCAGGGCCATCCTCTCCAACAAACACACATACAGGTTAGCATCATCAAGTTCTGCTTTTTTGGAGATGTAGGATTGTCTATCTGTTTTGTGATTTGAACCAAGTGTTTTTCTGCCAATTAGTATATTCGTCTCTTCAGAATCCCCTAATGTTTGTCGGTTTTCGCGGTGTATCGTCAATGTTGCAGCAAAATTCGAGGCTAATAAATTGTAAAATCAGTTAGTTAGCTAAGGTCTTATGTCATGCAGAGTGCCAGCAGGCAGGCAGCTACAGGTCGACTGTCATCATCTCCACCAGTGGATCACCTCTGAGAAACTGGGGCTACTACCACAGACACTGACCAGGCTCTCGGCTCTACCTGTGGTGACAGAGATAGAGGAAGGCCTGCAGACCCTGTGCCGTACCAAGACTTCGGAATTGGACCGCAACAACCAGACCACGTGCCCTACCAAGATTTCGGAATGGGACCCTGACAGTCAGACCACTTGCGGACTCACTGGTGGAGAATGGATCAAAGGACTCTCTTCTCTCTCCATTTGGTCAGAGACAGCCTGGCACAGCCCCAATGACTGGCTTGAGTGTATGCTTACCTGAGCCCCACCTCCTTTATGTGAATAGTGACGTAATCCGTTCACATTCGTGCGCATGCGTAACTTCAGTGCTCAGCATTCAGCAAGCGAGCGAGAATGGCGGGAGGAGTTACAGTATGTGTGCTGCTGGTGTCCGTTTTGGCGGTTGGCTCCTCGTCCTCTACTGACCAGCTGCTACCTGAGGACACGGCCTACGAGATGATCACGGAGTACAGAGATAACTACCCGCCCCCCAACCTCCCGTACGCCTACGACGCCCTGGAGCCGTTCGTGAACGAGGCTACGCTGAAGGTTCACCACCAGGGCCACCACAGGGCCTACTGCACCAAGATGAACGCCGCTCTCAAAGAGTGGAGGAAGCAGGTAGAGCCGGGGGGCGCGCAAAGTCGTTTTATTGCGCACCAAAAGGGGGCGGGGCTCGTACACTCCCCAAACGGTATATAGCAAAACCGAGAGAACCAACTTCTGAAGCGTTCTAGAATGAATACTGGAAAGAGTAGTGAGTTCGTGTGAGGAGAGTATAGCTTGTACCAGTTTCTTCCTCTATAATATAGGACCCAGAGTCACAGCTGGCAAAGAGCTCTCTCTATGATATCATGAAGAACCTGTCTGGTGTTCCCGAGCCGTGGCGGACGGCGATACGCAACAATGGCGGAGGATTCATCAACCACATCTTCTACTTTGTCACGATGAGGAACAAGGTATACACAGCTCCCATGGGAGAACTGGCCAAACAGGTCAACGCCACGTTTGGCGGCTACGAGAGGTTCATGGAGGAGTTTGGCGAGGCCGCCAGGAACCTGTTTGGGTCGGGCTACGTGTGGCTGGTGGAGGATGAGGAGAGAAACATCAGTATCATCAACACAGCCAACCAGGTTCGTGTTCTGTGTGGAACATACAGGCTAGACCTACTTTGTATATAGCGTATGACAGCATTACAATCATAAGGCTAAGTAACTTATTAGTGAATTGTCTGATTTTTCTGTCGCACCATAATACATCACCAAAAGTAATGAAAAGCACTAAAGTGCAAACCCTCGGCACACTGTGGAACCCATACACATAGTGTGGCACCACCACAATTCATGCATCATGGATAGATGGCCAGCCCCATTTATGTTTGAGGCACAAAAAATATATAAGGTTGAAAAGGTTGATTGTTTAGTGCAAAAACACGCCATTCGTTGTGACTTCTTGTGCCTTAAAGATAGACAGAGCAAGCGGACCCAGTCGAGCTAAATATAAGCGCATGCACATTATCCGCGGGCATGGCATTAATTAGCCATACAATGCTGGAAGCGCTCTAGCTCTGCAACGGATCATTTTCAGAGAAAACCCCACATATTTACTGACCCTCGTCGCCCTGTTGGGTAGATGGTATCGTTTCTGGGACGAACAGACACCCGAGAAGTGAGATTGAGAGCACAGACAGACACGGACAGACTACAGTACCCTCGCTGCGCATGCGCGCCGAGGGTAATTACTTGCAATCGTCGCTCTCGCTCTCTCTCTCTCTCTCTCTCTGCATGTATGTGTATATAGGACAGTCCCATATCTGATGGGCTCTACCCTCTACTAGTACTGGATGTATGGGAGCACGCCTACTACCTTCAGCACATGAACAGGAGAACCAACTACATCGGCAAGTGGTGGGGTGTGGCTCACTGGGGGGCCGTCAGCAGGATCCAGGAATGGTGGAGGAAGGTGAGGGGAGATGAGGATGAAGAGGACGATGAGGAGGAGTATGATTGGGAGAAAGAGGTTCCAGAGGAGAAGATGAGGAGGAGTATGATTGGGAGAAAGAGGTTCCAGAGGAAGAGGAGGAGGGTAGAGGTGGGTGGCAAGATGAGAGACAAGCCAAGAGCCACCAGGAGCTGTAACAGCCCACTAGTCTGAGAGGGACAACTCTTCTCGTAATAAGCAAAATATTTTTACTATGTGCTATAGAAGCTTCAACATTGACGTCCATTATACGTTGGGGTTTTTCAAATGCGACATTATTGATAAACGATTTGAACAAACTGAAACACAAAACACGATAAATTAGGTTTTTGTCCTGTGACATGTGGGGCAGGAGCTGACTTCACTGAAGCAATCCCTGACGGAGGGAAAAAGAGAAGATCATAAACTTTTCTCGAGCCACCACGCTGGGTTATCAGGTGTGTAAAGTGAACTGACTTGTGGAAGGTGGCAGAGCAGTGTGCACAGACGGACACCTGGTGGCCAAAGGGGAAGATGGGCTCGGCCGAACTGCACATGGGACAAGTCTGGCCTTGTGACGAACAAGTCTGGGACGGTGGAAACACAGCATCTTCTCACTTGCAACACGTGTGACTAGAGTCTGTATGCTAATACTCATGCTCAGCAAGGACGTTGTATATACATGTAACAGAGCTATAGCTAAGGCGGCATAACTTACAGGTGTACTATACTATAGGTAGAGGTATGTCAAACTATCCTTGCTGTGCGTTGGAGCACCATAAGTGCCTCAATGACTTACACACACACACACACACACACACACACAGACGCACGCACACACCTGACATTCAGTTGTGATGTGTTTGGCGAAGCATCTGTGGATGTCATTCAGAGCCGGCAGCAGATACCCGTTTTGAATCTCCACCATCTCGTGGAGCGTCAGCAACGACACATCCTCCTTAAAGTTTGGGAATGCATCCAACTGGAGGAAAAAATAATTACGGGCACTATAATTCTTGAGGAATAAGATTTTGTGGTCTATAAATTTGCAAATTGTTCGCATTGTATGTAGTGAAGTAGCTTTGTGACATTTTAATGTCCGGATTTTAAGAGTTTTTCTCGCCTCAAAGTGTCCCGCTACATTACGGGATCAGAGCGTTTCCAACATACTTGATGGAGTAGCTGGCGGTCGCGAGCCAGCTGGCAGGTGGCCAGGAGTGACCGCATGTGGAGAAGGTCAGTTCTCAGGCTCTCCACCTCCACCAGGTCCTGCACGTGTGTGTAGAGGAGAGGGTTGGTCGACGCAACTCTCAGTAGCGGTCGCGATGAGAGGTGGAGGAGGAGACTGGAGCACTGGCAGCACACCTGGCGGAGAGGGGAGGGGGGCGAGTGGGAGTGAAGACATGGTAATGTTATTTGTGCCATATCGTTTTCCAAATGGCAAATCACCCCCACTTTGCTTTACAGACTTTTGTTGCGCTTGCACCATTAAACATGCACCACAATACAAAGCCATCACCAAACCACCAATAGTTGATAGGACACATGTAATTTGGATTGCTAGCACAAGTTTCACTCCACAAACTGATGCACTATACATTACAATATCTCCAGCACACATATTGGCAAGTGTATATACTCCACAGGCAGCGGGCGTTCTACTCACTCGTCTGGGGACAAAGTCCCAGTTGTGGATGACTCTAGCAGGGATGACGGCCAGGTCGTTGGTGTGACAGTCGGGACAGTAGTGACGCCCATCGTAGTCACACAGTCTGACCTCTACCGGTTGGGGTCTGCGTCAGTTGGCGATTACATCTGACACAAGCGAAACTGCTGATCTGTTAGTCCCACCTCTGGGCACATCTACGGAGGGAGAGAGGGAGAGAGAGGGAGAGAGGGAGAGAGAGAGAGGGGTATATATAGAGTTGGGTGAAGAGAGAGATAAATAGGTGTGAAAGTGGGCAAAAAGCAATTTACCAACAGACAGGGAAAGGAGGAAAGAGAGGGACGGAAGGCAACAGGACGGTAGAAAGAGAGGGAGTGAGAGAACGGGGAAACGAATGAAGGGATGACTGAAGGAACCGACCTCTAAGATGTATTCCACATCATCTCCAGGGACGGAGCATTGGTTGACGACGGAAGACAGACACTTCTTGTGACACACACTCCGACAAGCTGAGAAAAGGACAAACAAAAACAATCCTTCAGTTCCCTCCGACAGAAACTAGACAACAAACACGCATCCAAACGAGCCGTTGAGTCTGTGGGCGTGTCGATGTTTCCGCTACCACGTGCGGGCAAAAAGCAATACAAAAAGTTCCACCTTACACTGGCTCATATACAATGGCAAAAAAAGCAAGCAATACCGCTTTTCCTGTTATTCAGAATTCACTAACATTATACCCACTAGACTAGAGCACAAACAACATCTACTTCTCTCTCTGACTCACTCTTGCAGCGGTGCCACTCCCTGATGAGACCTCGCACCCTCTTCTTACAGGCCAGACAGGAGACGTCTCGCAAAACCCTCCTCTGTCGCGGCTGCCGGACAAACTTGTGTCCACTCACCTCCTCGTACGCCGCCCCACTCTCTTCCTCCTCCTGTGCACAACAGAAATATAGACACATATATACGCTGGGTTATTTGTTGGTTTCCTATGCACAACAGAGGTAGAGAGACATAGTTCTCTCTCTCTCTCTTCTCCTTTTCTCTCTCCCTACCTCTTTCTTGTTGTGCAGTTGAAGCTGGAGACGGACAATCTTCCTGCGCAGTGCATGTTGCTCCACGGGTGACAGAGGAGGAATGGAGGACGATGATGTAATCAGATCTTTCTTCAGTCTCTGTATCGTCTCTAGCAACTCTGCCATTCCCAACTGACACCACAAACAAAGAAACAAATAAACACACATACAGTAACACTGTGCATCAAGTGATATATTATAGAACAGTAATAATACTGTATGGCAGCTTTTAAAAAAAATACACAGCGGGTAGCCTTGAAAAATACATAGTTATCCCTCTAAGGGAATAGCAGCACACGTGTGCACACACACACACACACCACACACCTCAGCGGAGTAATAGTCTTCCTCCAAGGCCAGTTCGGAAGTGGCCACGCCCCCAGGCATGTCCACCATGTTCTGCTCCATGTAAATTGACCACTCAAGACTGTCGGCTCTCGAAACTCGCCTCTCCCCCCCTCCCCCCTCCTGACGACCGGCTAACGAAGGGGATTTCCCCCTGAAGTAGTCGCTACTCGACAGGCTGGAAAGAGACGGAGAGGGTGTGTCACGGGTGGAGTCAAATGGATTTATCGTTGTCGGGTGTGGTTGGCTGGAGGGTGTCGGGAGGAAGCCATTTTGGGCAGAGTCAGCAGTGGGTGTGGCTAGATCTTTATCAGGAGGAGAGTTGTCAAAAGGATTTCGAACTCTCAAGTAGGTGTGGTCTCCAACAAGGCCCTGCTCCAACTGGTCAAACGGGTTTTTCGAGGTCTGGTCCGGAACGGAATCCAGATTGAATGGTGTTGGTAATAATTGCAGGGGTGACCCCGTTCCAAACTGGTTTGGAATGGCGGCAACTGGTCTGGAATCAGGACTTGGGATCTGTCTCGATTCCAAGATCTGAGGTTCTCTCATCTCCAGTGGAACAGTGGTAGCCTCCATCTCAGAACAGGTGCTTTCTTCTCTATCTTTCTCTTCTCTCTCTTCTTCTTCGTTCTCACCCTCCATTCCTGAGGCCCCTACTCTACAATAATTGTCGTCTAAAAGTGTGTCCTGTTGTATATCTTGAGCGCTGTTTGTAACATTGTCCTGATCCCTGTTGTCCTGAACTTCGTCCAGAAACCTTTCCTGATTCTTGTCCTGATGGCTATCCTCAATTTGGTTGGATAAAGACATTCCATCTTCCCCCACTTCACCGTCCCCTGCTCCCACCACCTCACCACCTCCATCACCATCCTCCTCTATCTCTCCACTCCCTCCAGCCTCTCTCTGACGACCCCACAAGTCATCCGCAACTCCCTCCAACTCTGAGGTTTGCACCTCTGTCTGGTAAGTCCCCAAAGAATCAGCTTCCCACTTTCCTCTCTCTCTGAAAACGTCTTCAACTTTCCCTTGTTTCTCCTCTTCTCCTTCTTCAGAAAGCACCAAAGCCACCTGTGTTTCATTTCCTCCTCCATTCACGTCTCCTCTTTTTTCACTCTCTGTCAAAAACACCTCCAGATTCCTCTCTCCCCCTCTCCCCTCCTCCTCCTCCTCCTCATCACTGGACGCGCTGACACTGCTCTCTCCGTCTCCATCGCTATCCTCAATAGGTGTCACGTGACGATCATGTGATTTGTTGTCGATGGGTGTCACATGTCGGTCATGTGACCTGGACGATGCCTTGTGGTGCCTGCGTCGACGTTTCTTTTGGTGAACATCTGATACGATAGAGTAAAGAGATCAGAACTGAAACTACATTCCTTTGTGTCCAATAAAGACACTCTAGCACAATGAAAACCAGCTGTAGTTTTCAGAGATGGGTAACAACGTATGTATGTAGTATCAACAGACCTTTGTCATCCAGCAGGTGTCTTGGGAGTCTCAGTTGTAATGGAGGCTGCAGGGCCTCCGGTACTGCCTCGTACTCCAGACTGGCTGTGTCCACCGTTCTAGGGAGGCAGGGAGGGAGGGGAGGGGAGGGAGCAAATTACCAACCATCGCTCTTTGCTTGAATTCAAGCAAAAGTACTGCTCATCGCACGCCATTTTTCGCTCGAAAGTTTCTTGTTTTACAGCATTTCCTATTACGAGTTTTCAAGGCAAACGTGTATCCGCAGGTTGGTAGGTATGATCGAGAGAGAAGGAGAGAGAGAGGGAGAGGGTGGAGCTGTAAGATAAGTGCTCACATGTTGAAGTTGATCTGCGAGAGACCTGCTAGCAGCTGCTGCAGAGGCCCCACCACATCCTCGTCCCTCATGAAGGCATGCACTTCATAGTGCTGGCTGCAGACGAGACAAACAGAGCAGAATATACAGTATTACACCCTAATTGTACATTGATGTAGGTTTAATTATTATTGAGACCATAGGCATAAAGAGTGTGCTCTATGTTTTAAGGCAATGCTGTATGTGTCTGTATCAGGTGTTGTTAGGTGTTGATTCAAATGTGATTCTCACACAAACGCAAACTATTGGAACCGTAGCTGTAGAAATGTAGTTGGTTCTCCGACCTCCTGAGAGAGCTGTTCTGACAGATGACTCCGATGTAGCTCTCCAGGGAACACTCGTTGACGGCCATTCTTATCCAGGCCCTACACCGCCCAGTCTCACTCACTGCATACTGTAGACTAACAGTGGAGGAGGAGAGGTTAGAGGGGGGTACGAGTACCAACAGAAGACTTAGTCATATTTCACTAAAAAGAGGGAGGCACAGTGTATCAAGTTTATACCAAAAGAGGGAAGCAAGCTGCCGTTCAATCTAACTCCGAATGGAACTAACCCACTGATATACTCGATGGCCTGTTTCCTCGATATCTGGAGGACCAGCGGCCAGAACGTGCTGCTCTGGCCGAACCACCTCGCCTTCAGCCCGTGTCTCAGGGCGTTCTCGAACCGCGTGCACAGTCTCTGCGTGGGCTGACAGTCCCCCACCCGCCCTCCTTCCTCGCACTCCGTGGACAGGACCTGGACCTCCTTGATGGCTCTGGAGAGAGTCTTCAGCAGCGAATGGCGGACACGTTGCTGGATCTCCGCAAACTCGGGGTCGTCTAGGACACAAAGACACAAACACAAGTTAGAAAGGGCGTGGAAGTGAGTAGCCACTGACGCACTCTTTGTTTTCCGGAATAGAGACCCAATACTCGCGATGTTTGCCATCTCTTTCCAAGAAAAACGTTGACGGCAGCAAAGGGTTCAAAGGTCGATACGAGCCACGCCCACCACACGCAACGCGCATGCGCAAGTATAGCTTCTCGCGCGCATAATCAAAAAGTATTAAAAAAATTTGAGAGTGATTTTGGTTATCTTTCTCTGAATTTGGCGAGCTGAAAAGTAGACAGTCACCCAAGATGACAATAAAGGAGGCAAAAAAAAACTTACCTTTTCAGTGACACATGTATCATAATCAGAGGCAATCCTAAAACAAGACGTAGACAGTGTTTCAGCGACAGCATACCACCAGTTTCAATGCATGTGTGGATGTCATCAACTTTATTTCTTGTAAGGTCAAGTGTACTTCGCACGAAAATTTGCTTGTTGCAAAAACACAAGGTTCTACTTTTTGATTCATAATTGTGAAAAAGGTATATACATCTGCAACGTTAGTTGGCAGCAGCCATTCACCCCAAAACCCTGTCTGCTGTGTGCATCTGGTGGTTACTTGCTGAGTTTCTGGGGGAGCTGTGGAGGGTTGAGGAGATGCTGGGGGAAAAAGACTTTCCTCTGGTCTTTGGTCGAGTGGTAGTCTGACATATGCTCCTCTATCTCCTGCACATAATATAGCACAGAGAGAAGGAAAATAACAAGTCCGGGACCATTATAAATTAAATCATAGCTAGAAAGAAATTTAAAGATTTGAGCAGTTACCCACAGATTGTTTTACAAGAATGTCTGCCTAGTTGTCTATGTCAGAACCTGGGAGACTATATATAGCTAAGTGGACCAATTGAAGTGCTTACCTATCAGCTGAGCTGAAATGCTCAGTTCAAGTGCCCCAACAATAAGCACTACTTCAAGCTAAAACATAGTAAATTGCTGGTTTGTTCTTTTTCAAGGGGAATGAAGTGCTGTGGGTTTATAAGTGTATGTCAGTGGCAGATCTAGGATTATGAAACCTCATTGGATCCGCCACTGTATGTATTATTAACCTTAGAGAGAGAGGAGAGGAACTTTGGGTGGAGACTGCGAGAACTGGTCAGGAATGTACGATGGAGCTGCTGGCCACTGTTGTCACTAGAAGTCCGAGTCATACATTTCTGCAGATAGTGGGATACCATTGTATATACCTCTTAACTACACCTTTATGGTCTGACAGTTGTTGCAGTCTTGTGCAAATCAACTGGTCGTCCTAGTGAATGAGTCAACTGACTAAAGTAACATGGCAAAAGAGGTGACTTCAGAACTATTCACAGACATATTGATACAACACACACACACTGAACAATGAATGGCATGTACATATACCTGCTGTGAGGTGTAGGTAAGTGTGAAGGCTCTCTCTTTTCTCAGGTAGTGCAGAATGTAGCCTGCCTCTGCATACTGTCAGTGTTACCACTGGTGATTAGTAGCTAGCTAGCACACCCCATGGTATACCCACGGACCTTCTTTTCTCTGATCACTTCTTGCAGTTCAATAAGAGCTGTCCAGTCATCTGCAGTCACTCTTATCTTGTGTAGGGAGACGAAAATGACTTGTTTCTGATTCTCGGGGGACCTACCAAGGCTTTAGGGTTGAGTGGTTGAGTGCAGAAGACGGTGTAGATGAGGTAGAGGCCAGCCAGTCGCTCGTGGTCACGACTCCTGGAGATTAGATACCGCATCCCCTCCGCCACCAGACACGTCACGACCTGTATCACGTGAGCCAGCAATCCGGTCAGAAGTGTTCCGGACACGGACACCACAAAGGTGTCCGGATTCTGTTATACCTCTTCTTTCCGGAGTGGGTCCGTGCCTGCGCTGGACGAAGTGAAACAGAAAGATACAGTACACCTCCAGCGGTGAACCAGGAACACTTACCAGTAGACGAACCAGAACTCCTGCTCCGTCCACGATTCCTTGAAGGCGTTGTACTGCACGCTCCGCTTCGATACGACGTGAGCGAGGAGACTGCGAGCGTCTGCGACCATTGGGTTCCTGCTCACGGCACACGAGGTGCTCGCGACCTCTTCCTCTTCGCTAGAAGCCTCCGACATGACTGCAGGAGAAACCGAGGGAGCCATATGCAGGCGGCAAACGTACCCCAGGCTACATAGCTCTAATAAACGCGCACTAACTACGTGACGCCCACTTTTCGACACACGTGCGTCGTAGGTGGGTGTTATTTGGAATATCCGACAGTCATGCAGGCGGCGCTAGAGGTGTTCTACCGCATCCCTTTCGCGGTGCTGGAGGTGCCGAACATCAGGCTGAAGAAACCCGGCTTCGTGAAGGTTCCTTCTGCTATGGTCGTCTTCTCTTTCATCCTCTTCTCTTACTTTCTCGTCACCGGGGGAATCATCTATGACGTCATCGTGGAGCCGCCGTCCATTGGATCTGTAAACGGTACTAGAGACGTCTCTCTCACACACACACACACACAAGTTTCGTATCTTTTCCTCAACCTGTACCAACTATCACGAATTCGTCGGTTGTTTATGCTCACACTATAATACTGACTGTAGCCCATATACATGCCTCATACAGAGTATGGCGTTCTGATTGAGGTTTTAGCCAAACTATGTGCACAAAATGGGGCTCTCAGGGTCCTCAGGCACAAAACTTTCCTTCCTCGCTCCCTCTTCCTCCCTCTTGTTATCCTCGCAGATGAGTTTGGTAATCCTCGACCGGTGGCCTTCATGCAGTACAGGGTCAACGGCCAGTACATCATGGAGGGTCTGGCCTCCAGCTTCCTGTTCTCTCTCGGTGGCATCGGCTTCATCATTCTCGACCGCTCCAACGCCGTCGGTCTCACCAAGCTCAACAGGACGATGCTCTTCTCCTTCGGATTCTTCTGTATCATCGCCGCGTTCCTGGCCGTCCGTGTTTTCATGACAATGAAACTGCCGTGAGTGGTTCAGCTAGATTGGGAACAAAAAACGCCTCTCTCTTTTTCTAGTCATCTTTGCTTTTTCTTCCACTCACTTTCTCTTCCCTTTTCCCCCTCTTTGTTTTCTCTTGGAAAACTTTTTTCTCCTTTTCCCCCACACCCCTTTTCACCTCTTTCTCACCCTCCTCACTGTTCCCTCTGTATTTTTCTTTCTACAGTGGATACCTGAAGTAACTTGCACATTGTGGAGTGGACTAATTAATAGTTAATACCATCATTGCATTGCATCACATGACACACTTGTACAGATCGACCAATCAGATCATCAGTGTATGGCGACAGTAAAATGATGATTATTTTTGAACAACAGCCTCACAAATACGTGACGATAAAAATTAACACATTGTCGCGCGCACAAACCAACCAATCACATCAAAGATCAAAAAAATTCACTCAATATTGAGGTCAGAGTTTTGCAGCGGTGGATATGTCAGACCACCCACACAGTAGGTCTTCCACTGTACTCTGTTTGTCTTGTCCCCAGATGACCATATTTCTGTTGTTGACCTGGTAGGACGGCGTACCGCACACTCCGTCACTCACCGCCCTGCGAGAGATGACAGAGTATTATGATGGCTTTGAGCAACAGTGATGTGACCAGAACACATACACTCATTATGTCAGAAGATTTTGCACAACCTTAGGCATGAAAATGAAATGGTGAAAAAATGTCCACTCCCCACTCCCGGGGCATGTCATATAAAAACTAAACCATTTGAGATACAGCTCAGTCAACACATCTGATCCCCTTGGCTGAAATCTGACTAGGAGTTGTCATCAGTCATTGGCCTCCATGGTACATTATATACCTGGATGTGTTGGCAAAGAGCTGTTTCTTGACGGGCTCGCTGGAGGCATCGCAGAGAAGGCGGTCTGCGTCAAACCCAGCCTCCTGGAGCACACGGTGGCACACGTCACTGTCTCCTATGTTCTTATTGTCTCTCCAGGCAGCCAGATCTATGTATAGACACACGATGCTTAGTCTACAGTAACTCACAAAGGATAGAGTATTGAGTTCGTATATATACGGAAGAAAATTAGTAGATTTTATTTAGGAAAATTCTTGCTGCACCAAAACGCTCTTTCCTCTTTTCACTTCTCTTCTACCAATATTCCTTCCCACTTCGCTCTCTTATTCCCTCCCCCTCCCTCCCTCCCCCCCCCTTCCCTCCATCTCACAGAGGGTCTGTATGATGGCAGGGTCACACTGGCTGGCCAGAGTGGCCCTCAGAGGAAGCACTGATCTGATGGGAAACACGTCGGGGAAGTTGAGATCCACTCCAGCAAAGTCACACCAGTCCTCCATGTCCTGCTGGTAATAGGTCTGCTTCTGGGTGGACATGGTTGTGAGTGGCACCTAAAGAAAGGACAGGAAGAGAGAGTATGTGGGTGTGTATACTGCTCTCTGAAACTTAGCAGAGATGAAAGGTACTAACAAACCAAACTTTGTTAGATTGGGGGAAAGGTGACAAGCTTACCGATGGTGTTCCGGTCTCTTTAAAAAGTGCTCCCAGTAGGATTGAAACATACTCAATATTCACCTAAAACAAAGAACACACCATAATGCAACTATGTATTCAGCTATTTTGTAGTGGTGCTGATGCACACGATAAGAATAATAGAGCAGTTTGCGAATTTCGAACACGGCCAATCTCGTCGTCTCTCACCTGAACAGGTGCCACACTCTCCACAAGGCTCCCTAGCCTCATGAACCCAACGTAGGCCCACGGACTGGAGTAGTCGAAGTAGAACGAGAGTTTTGCAGCCCCTCCACTGCTAGGAGGCGTGGTCAACCTCTCTGGGGCCACACCCCTCATCCCAAGTGCTCGCTCGACAAAAAACATCCTGTCAGTTCCCCAGAACAACCGACCGTTGACGTAGAAACTGTGAGTGAGAAAATCAACCACCAGTGATGGAGACTACAGTTATTGTGTGTGTGTATAAACTGTTCTGTCAGCAAACTGACTGACAATATCTATGGGGGGATATCAAATATCAAAGTGTGACACACTCAAGGGCTCCAAACAGTTGGATGATACCATGCTCTAAGTTTCCAAAGACCTCCTTGAAGACATGTGCAAGGCAGTTCTTTAGAAACCTTATTACATCAAAGCATGCGTAACTAAGGGAGTAAGCAGTGGCATGTATGCACCTGGTCTTAAAGTATACTGCAGCACCATCCCAAGTGGTTTAGACCTGTTACACACAGAAGGTACTACTGACTCTCCCTTCTCTCCCTCCCTCCATTACCTGGGCACCCCAAAGCCTCCCCTCTCCACCACCTCAGTCGTGTTGTGTCTCAGTTGCTGAGAGGCAGCCGTGGACTGAACCAGAGCCTCCACATCTACTCCGTGACCAGAGGCTATCTCACGCAGACAACTCGGGTCTCCCAGGTTCCTGTCCTCACAGAAATGAGCCTACACCAGATGGCATGTAAGTAGTGGGGAAATTCCTGCATGCTTCATTTTTGTATGTGCGAACATCTTTGTGTAGTACCAGGATGACACAGTTTGACTATAGATTTATTGAGACTGTGGCTTAGTCTAACACTTAGACCCTTCCAGGATTAATGCGAGTGGTATGCTAGCATACACAGAAACTCTGAAGTTTCTTGCTAGTTACAGATGCAGCAGAGAGAGAGGCTCACTCTGTAGAGGTCATGAGATAGAGCTATTCTCGTCCGCTGGTCCTTCACCCCCGCCAGTATCCTCATGGCATACACCGTCTTCTGGGGGAAGTGGGTGGGGTCTCGGTAGGGGACTCCCCTCCGAGCCAGCTGCCTCCGCAGGTCTGTGAGAGAAATGTCTCCATCAGTGGAACACTCAACTCACCGTGTAGGCTTAGGGCAAAGACACACGGCACAACTTGTTCCCATTAAACAAAGTCTCTCAAAACTCGATGCTGGGTCTAGGCAATATGTTGCATGCTATGGCACCTTCTATTCCGGAAACTTCTTTACGTGCATGGTCCTATCGTACCAATACGACAACGTTGTCTTGCGCAACAAAGTTGTGGCCATATATTTTTATGTAACTCTGTAGCTATTGACTAGCAAACCTTCTGCCTGCATCTTTAGTTTTGCAGGAGACATTGTGTGTGTCGCCGAACCGCTTTTCCCCTGCGGCGCCTTTATCAGGTCGTACATACCGCCTGCAGGTCGCGTGGAGGGTAGGAGAAGAGAGAGATGGCGAGGCTGAGAGACGAACTGTGTCGGAGCTCACCAAGAAGGACAGGTCTCCAGACAACATCTGCGCCCGTGCGCTGCGCCATGGCCTCCACCAGCCGACTCGCCATGTAGGCGAACGGGCACACAACGTCGTAGTAGAAAATGACCCTCGATCCACTCATCTTTCCTGGCTCTTGGTTACCTGCGGTGCGCATTTATTGGAAAGTTCAGCTCCGCCCCCTATATTTGCGCTAGCCACGCCCCTCAATCACACGTGGCGAGCTGCTCAATGGAGCTGGATTTCAAGTGAGGGAATAGTATTGGACGTCTGTAGCTCTCATAACCGTATTTATCTTTCTTTGCTAGAGCCTTACAGCCAGCTGAGTACCTTGCAACATTTCTAGTAAGCCCGAATCCTTTGCTATTATTCAGCGTTGGGTCTTTTGTGCAGGAGCATGGACTACGGCCAGATGGGCGGAAGGCAGACGAAGCTCGTCCAGTCACTGTCAACACTGGTTAGGTTGCCCTTATACCCAGTGCACAATTTAACTGTGACTGATATAATCTTCAGGGTCAGTTTCGACGGCAGATGGATCAGCTCTTGTGCGCATGGGAGGCACTCTTGTCACATGTGGAGTGAAGGCTGTGAGGAGAACTATATAGAAAATCCTGATATTGAGCATCGAATCTGGTTGTTTCCTAGCTCTTCATTGTAATTGATATGTAGAACTATCAGTGGTTTCTCCTCTCTCTCCTTCCTCCCACTTTTGTCCCTGCCTTTTCATTAACATTCCACTTGCTCTCTCTTTCTTTCTCCCCCCTCCCTCCCCCTCTCTCTGTCTCTCTCAGGAGCTGTCCAATCCTCCGGTAGAGAGTGGAGACTGTGGCTATTTGGTGTGTAATGTCGACCTCCCTCCCCTCTGCTCCCCTCGTGTCACCCCAGGCCCTCCTACCCCGCGGGGCCAGTCTCTCTCTCAGCATCTACAGGACACTCTCATCAGGTGACCGTCACACAGTAGAGGCTCTCGGATCTGAATCCTTGAAAAAAAGGAGTCCATTGTTTTCGGAAATCTACACGAAAATGTGTTTTACGTGGTGTATCTTGGTGTATATAGCACACTTATGCAACGAAATTTTGAAATTCATTATCTTGGTATGTTCTCTGTTCTCCAGCTGCCGGTGTGTTGACGTGAAGGACCTGATAGTAGGACAGGACAACCTGTGTTGGGTGCTCTATCTGGACGTGGTGTGTTTGTGTGACAACGGAAATGTGAGAGATGCCGTCTTTTTCGCTGCCACCGCTGCACTCAGGAACAGTCAGTTCAGTGCACTCTCACCTGAATCATGTCTCCCTCCTGCCCCTCCCTCCCCTCTCTCTCTCTCCCTCTCTCCCTTGTCTTAGTTGAGCAAATCCCATACATTGTGTACAGTACTCAAGATGTGGCCAATAGGAGTTGGGAAATTGTATATACTTTCTCTGAAGTCCCTCTCTCTCTCTCTCTTCTTTAGCTTCTCTTCCGACTGTGGATGTGTCCAGTGGCTCACCTGAAGTCAGCTATCAGCAGAGGCACCCTCTCTCTCTCCCCCACCTTCCTCTTGCCATCTCTTACTCCCTCTTTGAGAGGTATATACACTATCAACCTACAGTTAAATCTCCAAAAAAGACCTTCCAATGGAGAAAGGGCCCATTTGACGCAGAGTTGTGCATACATACGTGTGTGGTAAGAGTAACAGTGCACGTAGTATGGTGGGTTCAACCTTTTTCAAACTACGAGGTACGTACGTTCCCCATTCATCATTCCTTCTCTCTCTTCTCTCTCCCAGTCACATTCTGTTGGATCCATTTCACGAAGAGGAAGAGCTGTCCTCCGGCCACGTATCAGTCGTAGTCCTGTCCCATTTGAAAATGGGTCAACCCGATTGCAAACTGATCGGAGGCCTCACGAAATCGGGACCGCCCAGCCTGCCGTCCCAGAAACTGATTGAGCTGGTCCACAGGGCTCAGAAAAGAGCGAGACTCCTGGCCGACTTACTCCTCACAGCCTCCGGAGACAAGAAAACCTGAACTCTTCACTAAACCCTCCAATCACAAGTTCTGCAGTCTTTCACAATCCTATACTTCCAATCAACATATAATTATACCAATTTATTAACATTAACTCCCCAGCTTGCAATACACAGTAAGGTACCACACGACAAACGTCATATGACAAGTGTGTGTGCCATTGCCATGATGTATAGTATTACAATAATAGAACTGCATTATCATAGTCCCCACGTGATTTTAAAAAATCCAGATTATCAAAAAGATTGTAATCCCCCGTGTAAACCTTCGGATGTAGTTTTCCAGTTCACCACATTCACGAACTCACCACATCATAACACATACTGAATATTATATAGTATATACACACTGACAAAAACAACTGAACTGTCCCTCAAAGAAATCCCAAAATACTTAGACACACAAAACTCTAGAAGTGGGCGGGGCTCCATTGATGAACGTCGAGGCTAGAATATGGGGATGTAGTTGTCGATCTTTGATCTGTGTCTCTGCGCGATGCACTCGGCAATCCAGACGATGTTTCGTCCCTCCTGCTCCTTCAGTCGCAGGTACGAGTAGAACACGCCGAAATGGAACTGCTGCATGAACGACCGCACGTTAATCTCCACCTGTGCAGGAAGAATGGTGCTCTATATTATGCACTGAGAAAGTTGTAACGACAAACAATTTCACCAATTACCTGAAATTAATGGATAGCGAACCACAAAATATAAATTGTGCATTTTCGAGTAAGGAAAAGTCATGAAAGCGGGAAAACTCGGTAGCGTTGCTACTACATAAAGTTTTGAACACTTATCACAGCACCGACTCAGACTACATCCACCAGGTAGTGATGTTGTGATGAGTCAGAGGGTCTGCACGGGTGTGAGTGGACAGACCTCTTTGCGCAAGAACTTGTCCTCCAGAGTCTTTTTTCGCCAGGCTTAGTACCTGCCCTGCAACAACAAACACCGCGGAGTACTCCTGTAAACAACAACAAACAAACACACAAACAACAGAGGGAGCAATTAAAACTAAAGTATATACCTGTGTTGGAGAAAGAGAGAGAGAGAGGGAGTGAATGAAAGCATATTATCATTCATAGTTTCATAGTCTGGTAGAATGGCTTGAATAGCTAGAAGAAAAAAAAAAAAAAAAACAAAAAAAAAAAATAAGAAGAAAAAAACAAGGCGAGGACGATTACAGCTAAAGAGAGAGAATGCAACACGACAGGATGAAGTCAGCAACAGCCTGACGTGGTCATTAGTCCTCGCACTTGTGCAGTCGAGCCGCCCTTCGGGGTGGATCGACCGCACACTTCGGTTAAACAAAAAAACACTCTCTCTCCCCCCCCTTCTGGTTCCATCTTCATCTACCGTTACCCAAGGATTAGTGGTGATTATGAACGCCCTCCTGTCTGCTTTTTTTCTAACTGTTTGCAAAAATAATGTTTTTTTGGGTTAAAACTAATGAACATTTTGATACAACGAAGAACCTCCTGTACCATAGTATGTGTATGTGGATAACGCGTCATTATCATTTTTTGTTGCGACACTTCAAAGGGACTACTAAGTTTCACTAGTGGCATTATGTGTGACGTGAGGTGAAGTACGTGAATATGTATGGTTAAGTACCTGAGAGCATTTGCTCAGCAGTGAGAGCAAGGCTCGATAGCACAGCGAGTGAGTCAGCTCGACCCGATGGCAATGTCCTGACAGAACACTTATAAAAGTCGCTCAAGGCCGAGAGATAGCGCCTGTGTGTCGTTCAGTTATTCATGAATTGATTACATCATCCAGTCAAGATATACTATGCAGGAAGTGGGGCAGAACACAGAGAGAGAGAGAGAGCGAGAGAGAGAAAGAGCAGAGAGATGGCGTCTACCTCGTAGAGTGCGTTTCTGATGATCCTCGATGTTCAGCGCTACGTCCAGGTCTGTCTGAGATATACAGTCCTTGAAGTAGGACCTGCATACATGGTAAGCCCGCAATATAGGTGGGAGCACATATGTCTCCACTCTCACAAAACAAATGTGACAGAAAAAACCTATGTGGAAGAATCTAAAGCCCAATAATTTTACGGACAGGGAGAAACTTGGTGTCATTGGGTAAAGAAGAGACACACTTTCATTGATGATGGTCATAAACTAGGAGTTGTTCTTACTGCAAACACCAACGTTATCTACCCACCCAGAGTGTGTCACCAACAAGGACGGCGCTGTAGAGTTCGGCCGTGTGTGTTGTGGGCAATGTTGACAGACTCCATCTCCTCGAAGCTCTCGCAGGTGTGGCCCTTGCTGCGGAGCTCCCGATCTGTCTCGGTGAGGGTACCGTGATGAGGAGGATGATGTTGTCTCACATGTAGCTGTACTGTGTGTGAGGGAAGAAGTAACTGGAAACTTCTTCTGAACCGGACGACCTCTCTATTATATCTAACTAAAATATATAAACTGATCGACGATTTTCTTCTAACTAATCTAATAATTATTTAGATAATCTCTATAAAAACTAACAAAATCAAAAATTATCGACTCACACCACCAAATCACACTCCATACATATAAGGGACCCTTGTTCTTATCTATACGTAGAGAAAATGTCTCCCTCTATCCAGAATATGACTACTTGAGGGCCAGTATAAGTAATTCGAACTTATGTTCTACAAGTTTTGGAGATTTTCAGCTATCAAATCACAGTAGCACGACGGTCTCCACATTATGTATCACTAACAGATAAGTTAGGCGATTTCGTTCGCTTGTGAGCTCGACTCTCACAGGTTGTTTCAGAGCGAATGGTGCCTTTATCAACGAACAGGTGTCCCTCTTACAGAGGCTGAATGACCGTTTTACAGACACTTATTCACACTCGTGTTCTTGCTAGTTACTACACATCCCGCTACACATTTACCTAGTCGCTCTGTATACATCCAGTAAACGTTTTTTCTTTCTATCACACATTGGCCTTGCTTCCCTCCTTCCTGCCTTTACACTCCCATACTGTTGGATAGTTCGTTTTGGCCTTCGCTTTTCTACCTCTTAGTTCACACAGATACATAGCTACATGTCATAGGAGCTCTTCACCATACCGTCCAATATTTCAACTGGTACCAGAGACACACACACACGAACACGGCAGAGAGATGTCTCACGTGACATAGTCCAGAAAGTGCTGAGAGGCGGGACTGAGTGGTTCCGAATGTGTTGGAACTCCACCACAAGATGCCCCCTCAGTTTCTCGTCTATCACGGCCACGGGGACTGGACTCGGCTCGTTCTGCAGGAAGTTTCCGTAGTCCGTCGCCTGCAGTTTGCACACTTCAGGTCTGCAGAGACAGAGAGAGAGAGAGACCGCGGTGTGACGAGCGAACCGGTGGAGGAAAGTCTGACCTTCTACGTCTCGCACTGGACGAGGTTGAGATAGTCGCCTCTAGCGAGGATCCCAGAGCGGAAACCCCTCACAAGGCCCTCCAGGTAGCCGTTGTCCACGTTGAAAATGTACTCGTCCATGGCCCACAAACGAAAGAAACTTTTCTCCACCACCACCAGCTGTAGTCACATGACTTGATGATTGCGTCACTTAACTTTGACCCGAGACCCGCCTTCTTCCCAAATAGCTGAGCTAACACTAGCAAGACAACGAATGGGCTGCTCTGCTGAGGACTTATCTTCTTCCCGCCTGCTCGCCCTCTGCGCTGTCCCCCTGCACTCACCTCCCTCCCTGGGACCTGCTACAGAGAAAAAACGGGGCCTCGACCGAGTCACGTGCTCACCAAGCCAACCCACGAGCACACTAGACCCGTCCTCTCTCCCGGACAACTTCGACTGGCGTAGCGTCAACGGAACCTCTTCGTCGCAGAGGCCACCACCAATTCCTACCCTCCCCGTGCGGGAGCTGCTGGGCCCCATGCCTCGACTGGAGCTCTAACAGACCGCTTCATAATCGCCAGAACGGCCCGAGTCTCGCAAACCAAGCTCTCTCCTCAAGTTCTCTTGGACTGCGCCTCTGACGCGGGGTCCTTGCTACGGGGGCAACGACGATCCTGGCGTACCAGTTCATCCACGAGCACGGCATAACGACGACGTCACGTGCTCCCCTACCTACAAGGAGTGGACAACTACTACTGGGGAGAGATCCCGTGTGACCAGATGATGTGTCGAGCCTGGCGACCTCGCCAGCACCTGCAAGTTTTGTGAACGGGACAAAAGTAACTCTACGTGTCCGAGTACGGCTCTGTTCAAGGCGAGGACGAGATGATGGCTGAGAATATAACGCCCGCGGACCTATAGCCTGCTCAATCTACTGCCCACAGATCCGCTTTCCTGGACTACAAGAGCGGCATTATCCAAGATCCGACGGCATACACTACACACACGACACACGTGGTGGCGATCACTGGTTGGGGAGTGGATCAGGACACGGGGATGAAATTCTGGGTGGGTCGGAACTCTTTATGGCACTGCCTGGCGAGGAGGTTGCGTTCCAGCTCCACAGGGCGTTAATGTGCCTCGATATTGAGGAGCACCCCTGCTCCTGGGCCGTGCCCAAACTGGATTAACCGACGTAATTTTTATCATCAGACCAAATATTGTATTTTTATGACTTTTTATAACGCATTTCCGTTAGTTGTTGGTTCAGCCCTTTGCTCTGGGTGCGTGATCTATTGCCTTAGGTGCTACGGTGCAAATTATCGTTTTGGTGATCACATATATAATATACACCACACACAATTGATAAAATATAGGAATAATAATTATAAAGAGATATATGGAGATCATATTCTTTGGAAGAGGAGGCCAGGAGAGAAACCCGGTATTGTGAAGTTCTTGGCCTGCCAGTGAGGGGCGGAGTCTGGCTGCCTGTCGAAGTAGAGCCACGTGTGTCTGAGGGCAAGGAGCTCACCTGATAGACAAGAGACCTCGTCTTCAGCAAACTCTACCTGCAGGCCACGGGGGAAATGAGAGCCTCAATAATCATGATTGTCTTGTTTCTGTCTCGTTTGTCCACAGCATAATTCCCCCTGTACGATAATATTCAGACACAGAGTGCTTGGGAAGTGGCAATGGTGCCACAAGTTCCAACACACGTGCTCACCGCAGCACAGCTCTAATGGGGACATGAGTGCCACCCCATTCTATATAGAGTAAGCCATGACCCTCCCACAACGATGACACACTTCGTTAAGATGCCATATAGGCAGCAACTCAAGGGATATAACATTCGTACTCAGTGGCATGACGGCTATTGAGCCAACTAGCACCAGCAACTCACACGAAAAACTTCCACGGTTGCTGTGATACACAAGGTAAACCCCTCCACTCACCTGACAGCGTGATGGCTCTCTGTGGCACCCGTATATACACACCCTGAATGACAGACCCCGAGAGGGCCAACGACTGTCCCTGTTAGAGGTATGATATATGGCCAGTGCCACAGTTTCATTGCTCCTGGCGCGCAGCTATAGAATGGCACACGAAGGCAAACGGTGGATGGGGTAGTGTGTTGGGAGGTAGGGGGTCAGGCGAGAGTGGCGATGTAGAGCCGCAACACGAATGCGGAATGAGGAGGGAGTGGAGTTCGCGAACCAGTGCCAGCTTATGATAGCACTGGCCACATCGAGACAGAGAACATTCAGACCTGCAGAAGATGAGGAGCGATGAGACTGGGAGAAAGACACACCGTCAGTGAAAGGTTCCAGAGGCACAATCTTTTGGAATTACTAGCTGTGCCACATTTGTCCCCGGGGTTACATACAACCTGTGCATCGTATCCTTTCTAATAGAGCTCAGTGGGAACAGAGGAGAACAGTGTTTATGTTATGGCTGCAAGTCTGCACACGCACAACGCAACTGTTGCAGTGAGCTGGTGCAGTATGACTGGTCCTTTCTAGCTCCTTCTATTACTCTGCACGAGTCGCTACACAGTCAGTCGCACACTGAGTATGACAAAGAGTTAGTTGTTACCTAGCTTTAGGTCGGGGACGACGCTGAAGACAGCGGAATAGCCTCTGAGGTTGCCTCCCTTCATGATGAGAGTGTAGTCCTGCTGGTAGCTCACCTCCCAGGGAGCTCCGACACCAGTGTCCAGGTCTCTGTTGGTGTAGGCTGCAGGTGAAACAGCAACAAGCACTGTCTGCACTTGGACTAGTGTAGTCGCAGCTCCCCATTATTGTACAGATTTATAACTCTAGTGCAAGTCTAGGGGAGGCCGTTCAACCCACGGATGGGAGCAGGTCAGGCAGCTAGACATCCAGGCTCAAGAGCAACAGCACCTTAACAAACTCCGCCTCTAGTTTTTATTTGTAGGGGAAGAGAATCTAGATATCAATGGGGCTCTTATGTAACACTGATGAGAAGTGGCCACTGAGCAGTCTGCTCTTGGAATAGGGAATACTATGGTGAGAGAGTACTTGTTTCCTCCGCATGTTAGATGTAGAGCTGTGGAGAGGATCTAAGCATTACACAAACCGGTAGCATTGTGCCTACACATAGGAAATGCTTTTCTTGGTGTCAGAAACTCATTTTAAGGAGAGGGGATAATTATCAGGGCATTTGATATGATTGCTGACCAGAATTGGATATGTAGATGCACTGACTTGGTATAGGATGATAGTCTTCTCAGAGATGGCGAGAGACCGGAGAAGCTGGTCCACTCATCTGCCGCTCCATTGGAGTAGAGCAACTTTGCCAACTGCATCAGGAGAGATAGAGAGACGCAACTTTCATTTCACAAGGCACAAAGGCTGCAAAATGTAAGCTGGTCTAACGTTTGCATGCTAGCTACACAGGTACAATCCATGAAGCTCCACAGATCTTCTGGATAAGTAACACTTCCAACACACTACTATCGTTTACTGCTATCTTGTATATACTATTGGTTGCTGGACTTGCTGCCCCAGAATATACATGGTCGCAACAGACATGCGCTAGAATTGTCTAGCCCTCGTGCAAAATACTGGTAAGGTCGTAGACAGTCACAAAGATTTAGGGCAGTAAAAGTCGAAGAAAAATTTGGATAATCAACACCCAAAGTCAGGGTGATGGTTTGGACAGCCTTGTCAAGGACGCCACACGAGACCGTGACGGCTGCAGCCATGACGACCGAGCCACACCCATTGTTGAGGCACTGGCAGAGGAGTACATCTGACTGGCAGTCCCCACCAACCATGGTCATAGAGTGGCTGCTCTCGCTCGCAGTCTGATTCAGTAGCCATCGCGCCAGGCGGAGTCCCCAACACTGCAGAGAGGTGAGGGATGTGCATGTATGACAGACAAACCTTACCTCAAATTAAAACATTTTCGAGAAGGAAAACTTGTGTGATTTGGTGGCGCATATCTGCACATTAAAATGAGTTCACGACTGGGTCTGAAGAAAATTTGTCTAACACATTTTTCTTCTCCCATCTGATGCATACTATATATGCGCTGCAAAAACAGAGGTTATCTTTGTCTGTAGGCCCAAATCGAATCTGTCCTCCGATGCTTCCATGCGCTGAAACCACCTGTCAGCAGGTGCATTATCTACAGCAGCATGTTGGTGCACAGTGTACCATTTCGGCCCCTATCGTAGTCAGCACGTAAGTCACACGTAGAGTCAGCGTAGTCAGCAGGTTGTTAATGTACCGATGAGCACGAGTACTCACACACAATTAGACATTGAGGGACTCAGCCTTTTAGATGTGTGTATACAAGGACTATACTCTAGCACGTGCCGTGAGTAGTATCGTACATTAGATACGCACAGAGCCAAAACTATAAAGAGGAACCAGCGTAAAATGGATGTTGGGGGAGTGGAAAGTTACCTCACTGTCGCTTTAGCTGAGCTAGACTCTGGAGGAAGGAGCTAAGTCTCTACACGCACAATACCCAAAGTGGGATTGCATCATAATACTTCGCGAGCTTCATGCCACCACTACAAGCGGTAGTGTTATCAACCAATTTGTGACACAGAAACTGATGTATATAAGTTTCATCGCTGGTTTCCTCTCGGTTCCTCCGAGATGAGAAACCAACTTCAGTCACGTCAACACACCACCACGCACACACATGGGATCACTTATATGTGAAACACCCAACCCATGGTGTGTGAGAGTACAAGTTGAATCCAGTGCCGACTCATGTTTTCATCCCAGGGTGTCTCAGTATGTTTTCCTGTCCTGAGGTAGTCCTCGAGCTGGTCTCGCCGGGAAGCACTGGACACACCGACACCTCCCCAGCAAGGCAACCCAAGATTTGCTGCAAACAAAGTCATTGTCCTATTATCGTGCTATGGGTGTATACCATGCCACAGGCATC